GGTTGCTATGACACAACAGTCCTTTTTCACCATTGTTGGGCACAGGTAGCCCCAGAAAAACAAATTGATGTAAAATTACCGAACACATTAAACTTTCACGAACGCCGTCAATGAACAGCCCACATGTGCAAGAAATGCGAGAAACAATCTGATTGTCTGGTATGGAAACTTGCCAGCCAATCTCAAGGCTTGTATTACATAGGGCCGACTAATTGGCCCAGTTGACCTTTTCGCTTCTTTGTGTCGGGCCAGTATTTGGGCTGCATCGTCTCCAAAGGGTTAAAGCATTCTTCTGTAAAACAACATCTCTGAGGCCTTAAGAAATTGTTTGGCCTGCCTACCGACTGTCCAGGATTCACAGCTATATGTTAAAACTGGATGTTTGTAGCAAGCACAAATTCTTGTTCTAACCTTCAATGACATGAATATATTGCATAAGATGTTCTTAATTTTATAAAATGCAGTATAATATAAATATAATTTATAAAAACCTATCTAATATGATACTTGTTAACTTGAATAATAAAAATACTAAGTGTAAAAAAGACGTAATAGTCTTCTTATTCTTTCACTCACCGTTGAAAAGTTATTATAAGTGTCAGGGTTTGTCAATGAAATATTTTCGCAAAAAATATTCCATAAATTATAAAAAACTGTAATGTAATTAACAGTTACCTTTTAAAACATTTTCAGTTTAAATTAAATGGACAATTTTAAAATCAATGTGACAATTATCACACTTCTTAGTTTGAATATATATATATATATTTTTATATATATATATATATATTATATATATATATATATATATATATATATATATATATATATATATATATATATATATATATATATATATATATATATATATATATATATATATATATATATATATATATATATATATATATATTTGCACTCCACACCCATAACAGATATGGAAGTACTCCGTGCACTCCACACCCATAGTGCACTCCACACCCATAACAGATAAGGAAGTACTCCGTGCACTCCACACCCATAACAGATATGGAAGTACTCCGTGCACTCCACACCCATAACAGATATGGAAGTACTCCATGCACAGCTAACTACAAAAGCCTCAGAAGGGTAGACCAAAGACAACCTGCTTCATCCAGATTACAAATGTCAAGCTGGCTGAACACTAACACCCTCTCCTATAGCACCAGTTATCCCACTAAAATCTGACAATTAATATATTTTTTTTTGGACCATTTAAAAAAAACACCAAATTCTTAGCCATTAACGTTTAAAGTGGATAATTAATTTTCTGAAGAGAATTCACAGAAAGTTCCTCGCAGTACAAGTTTATAGAAATGATAGCACTATTTAGTGAAAGTTGTATTCTGGAAAACAAAATGTGAATATTCTGCATTGGCAATGTCCTCAGGGAAGAGCCTAAACTGAGGTGGTCAAGGTAATTGATAAACTGACATTGAAATTAGGATCATTAGGGCATGACCTTTGGCTTATAAGACCAGATCATTAGTGAAACAGATCAGCCATTGTAGCCATGCTGTACAGGTGCTGATAACTGGTCAGATTAATCCTTCAGGTAGAGTCACTGAAGTGGTAGACACTGGGGCAGAGATAAAGCATCTCTTTACACTCTGACACATGGTCAGTTTGGACAAACAAATTGGAAATGAACTACAGTAAGCTGTATTTGGTTTCACTCGTGTGTCTTTCATGAGGGATTTACAAGTGTGTGGACATTGTTTGATGTAAGTAAACTGTTTCTTTCTATAACTGTAACTGAATTGTTTCTTAAAATTAAATGCCTGTGATGCCTTTGATCCATTAGGCCCCAAATTATTTTGAGGTATTATATGGTTTATACAAATAAATAAATAACAATTATTTCTATAATTCCTTCACTTTATCTAGACCTATTACTGTTCATTGTTATGTAAATTGTACGGTTGATACAATTAAACAAATTACCTATCATTTCTCTTTCTAATTCTTTCTCTTGAATATGATGTGCACTTGTTAATGTTTATTGCTATGTAAATTGTCAGGACTCTCATTGTCAGTTATTTTGTATTGGAACCACAGTAATGTCAGAGAGAGAGCATCAGCCAGCTAGCCCTCTGTTCCTTGGCTGGAATTACCTTTGTAGTACAATTTTCTTTTTCTTTCTGGTAGACTCTGAGGTGAATGTTACCTTATAGAATAGAACATTTACCGTTAGGTAAAGTACGAAACCATTGATTGCTGGAAGACTCTGAGGTGAATGTGGCCATATAAAATAGAACATTTACCGTTAGGTAGAGTACGAATCCATTGATTGCTGGAAGACTCTGAGGTGAATGTTACCTTATAGAATAGAACATTTACCGTTAGGTGGTGTACGAAACCATTGATTGCTGGAAGACTCTGAGGTGAATGTTACCTTATAGAATAGAACATTTACCGTTAGGTAGAGTACGAAACCATTGATTGCTGGAAGACTCTGAGGTGAATGTGGCCATATAAAATAGAACATTTACCGTTAGGTAGAGTACGAAACCATTGATTGCTGGAAGACTCTGAGGTGAATGTGGCCATTTAGAATAGAACATTTACCGTTAGCTAGAGTAGGAAACCATTGATTGCCATTAGCTATAGTATGAAACCATTGATTGCCATTAGGTATAGTATGAAACCATTGATTGCCATTAGCTATAGTATGAAACCATTGATTGCCATTAGGTAGAGTAGGAAACCATTGATTGCCATTAGCTATAGTATGAAACCATTGATTGCCATTAGGTATAGTATGAAACCATTGATTGCCATTAGCTATAGTATGAAACCATTGATTGCCATTAGCTATAGTATGAAACCATTGATTGCCATTAGCTATAGTATGAAACCATTGATTGCCATTAGCTATAGTATGAAACCATTGATTGCCATTAGCTATAGTATGAAACCATTGATTGCCATTAGCTATAGTATGAAACCATTGATTGCCATTAGGTATAGTATGAAACCATTGATTGCCATTAGGTATAGTATGAAACCATTGATTGCCATTAGGTAGAGTAGGAAACCATTGATTGCCATTAGCTATAGTATGAAACCATTGATTGCCATTAGGTATAGTATGAAACCATTGATTGCCATTAGGTATAGTATGAAACCATTGATTGCCATTAGGTCTAACATCATATCCTGTTTCCCAGGTGATGTAAATCAGAAACCTTAATGCAAATTCCTTTCAACAAGAGGTCTTTAGTATCTTTGAGAATTGATCTACATTGTATGCTTCTTGCTCTTGTATTGTTGATTTACCAACTCTAGTTTGTTCATTGTGCATAATATATTTTCTAGAAATATAGAGAAAACATACTGTAACTTTCCTGATTGTTTCACGGTTTATATTGGCAGCTGAAGATGAGGATGGAGCATGTATGAGAATATCTCAAGTGCTGTGATGTTAATTCTTGACTCAACTCATGGTTTGTCTGCTGTGTGAAGTGTCAAATGAAAGTCACATTGTTTAATCTGTTAATGTGATAAGCTGACATTCAGTGCTCTTGATTGTTAATGTGATTAGCTGACATTCAGTGCTCTTGATTGTTAATGTGATTAGCTGACATTCAGTGCTCTTGATTGTTAATGTGATTAGCTGACATTCAGTGCTCTTGATTGTTAATGTGATTAGCTGACATTCAGTGCTCTTGATTGTTAATGTGATTAGCTGACATTCAGTGCTCTTGATTGTTAATGTGATTAGCTGACATTCAGTGCTCTTGATTGTTAATGTGATTAGCTGACATTCAGTGCTCTTAATTGTTAATGTGATTAGCTGACATTCAGTGCTCTTGATTGTTAATGTGATTAGCTGACATTCAGTGCTCTTGATTGTTAATGTGATTAGCTGACATTCAGTGCTCTTGGTTGTTAATGTGATTAGCTGACATTCAGTGCTCTTGATTGTTAATGTGATTAGCTGACATTCAGTGCTCTTGATTGTTAATGTGATTAGCTGACATTCAGTGCTCTTGATTGTTAATGTGATTAGCTGACATTCAGTGCTCTTGATTGTTAATGTGATTAGCTGACATTCAGTGCTCTTGATTGTTAATGTGATTAGTTGACATTCAGTGCTCTTGATTGTTAATGTGATTAGCTGACATTCAGTGCTCTTGATTGTTAATTTGATTTTTGTTAATTGAAATAATAAAAGCAATAACGACAAGATAAACCTGAGTACAGTTATTGAACGACAGAAGTTTGTTATCAGTGGTGGTTTGAAAACATTCTTGATGACATTAGTATGTTAAGTGTCTGAAAATTAAACAAAAAATTTGGTGATGAAAAACATTTAACCTGAATTAAGCAGATAATATACAGACAAAACAGTTAGAAGTACTGACAGTGTATTCAATCTCCACGTGTGTGAAAATTGGGAATGTTAATCAATTGGTTATGTTAGTCAACACCACGGCAGACTGGACATTCCCAGGTATGCTCATTCCTCTGATTGTTTGGGAATGCCCAATGGGCAGTGGTGTTGACTGTAATAACAGTAGATTGTCACTAAAAACATTTCAGCTGTCAAGTACATCGATGCTGGGCTGACAGACAAGTAAACACACAAACAAAACACATAAATTAAGTGGTTTCATGTTACATTTAAAAAAGAATTAATCTCTGCCCCTTGTAAATTTCTGTATTTTAATTAAACTATGCCTGGCTTTTTGAGTATTATAATTGTCAAAGCAATGTTTCCCCGTTGTAAATTTGAACAAAGAAGACGCAAACAATAGATTGCACAATTCATTGCCTGGTATATTGTATCTCGTTAGGTGCATACTACAGTAACAATTACATAAGTGAAGCAAGAATCCTTTATAACTGAAGTACACTTTCAATTATTATAATATATTATAATTGTGTTTTTCAGTTGTGACAGTTGACGAGCTCTAAAGATCAACAGTTCTCTGTGCTGTGCCAAGGATAGATTGATTGTTCATAAACTTTCTAATATGAAAATAACAAGGCAGTTTTCACATCGCTGTGCTGTATTCTTGCTGACATTTTTCAGGTAGGTAAACATTTTCTGAATAAGTTGGTAATCAAAATATCTTATATTTGTGAAATATAACAGGAAAAACTTTTATCTCCTAATTATAAGTCAGATGGGCTGAACAGGATATTGCTGATTAAATTACTACTGCAACTTTTTTGTGAGTGTACTTTAGTTCTATCTTCTGCATTTAATATTACCTCCCATAACTAATTTACACTTGTATGCTGTCTTGTACCTGTGTCTAACTCTGAAATGTTTAAATCTGTAACAGTATATCTAACTTTTTAACTATCTGACTCAGTAACACTGTCTTACTCTGTAACTGTCTAACTTTCTAAAAGTGTTTACCTCTGAAACAGTGTCTGACTCTGTAACAATGTCTAACTCTCTAATAGTGTCTAACTCTGTAACAGTGTGTAACTCTCTAATAGTGTCTAACTCTGTAACACTGTCTTACTCTGTAACTGTCTAACTTTCTAAAAGTGTCTACCTCTGAAACAGTGTTAACTATGTAACTGTGTCTAACTCTCTGATAGTGTCTAACTCTGTAACAGTGTCTAACTCTGTAACAGTGTCTAACTCTGTAACAGTGTCTGACTGTAATTATGCCTGAAGAACTCCATAACAGCTCTTTAACAACTTTATAACTATATAACCATTTCCTTAACTCCTAAACTTTGACTCTTAGCTCTGTAACTGTGTGTCTTAACTGTGACTTTAACTTTGTAGTGATTGTATTTGCATCTAACTCTAACTGTATCTAACTCTTTAACCATGCCTGCTTACCTTACTATGTAAATGTCTCATTACTCTGAAACTATGTCTCATTACTTCATAACTACGTATCCTTATTCTGTATGCCTGCTTCAAAGTCCTGAGTTATTATTGGCACATTCAGAGCATTCTTTTCTAGGACTCATCGATAGGGTATGGGGGCCTTGTTGAGACCTCCTATTCATGTTCTAGATCAGGGCTATTCAACTGGCATCCGGCTGACAGGCTAAATCTGGCTTGCAGAAGCCTTGCAAGTGTACAGTGGATTATTGCCATTGTATTGTTTTAAAGATCTTTCTATGCTAGGGCTTAGGTCTCTGGCTCCTGATGATCCCCATTCTCAGAGTTTTGGCCCCTGAGTCAGTTTAGTTGAATAGGCCTGTTCTAGATTGTCAGTGAGGATAATAGTTGGATGAATGAATGAACGAATCAAGAATTGACATCACTGCACTCTGGACATTCCCACACCTGCTCTGTCCCCTTCTTCAGTAGCGAACAAAGAGTTGATATGCTAATAGTAATATTTGCAAATTACATATATTAGTAATAGTTGCCACCTGATTACAAGTCCGCCTTTGTTTCCTCTTTGATGTTGAATATCTTCCAGAACCTCTACTCACCGCCCATTGAATCAGGGGTGATAGTTAAAGGCAGGAGTCACCATTAATTAGTTGTACCTAAAGCACCAAGTGCAGTCAATCCCACCTACAGGGTGACACAGAAGAAAACAGTTATGCTTGTGTTTAAATGCTTCTTTATATGTGATTTGAAGTTCCAGCTTTTTAAATATACTTGTACATTTTATTTTTCAATATTCACAGTTATGCATTCTTCCATGCAAATAGAAAGGCATTCAGTAATGTGAAAACTTCTACTGGAAATGTTTGGACTCCAAGTTTTCATAATGCAACTCTTCCACCACTGAAACCAGACAAGGTGAGAAGAATCAACATGTAATTTAGATGTTCTGTGGGATAAAGATGCATTATCCCAGCCTCAGTGTAAACCACAACATGTCTTCTTCTTCTTTTGTTCACCTGAAATAAGTTGTCTATATCAGAAATTGTGTCTCTTATATAAATTTCTATGTTGTTGTTAATTCATTCAGTGGTCCATAGAGTTTATGTTCCACTGTTGTTCTATCTGGCCAAAAGGTTTGCCTTAATCTGTCAAATTCGGTGCAGTCCTGAAGTTCATGCTCTGGTGTCTGGGGCACCTTTCCACAGGTGCACATGGCTGATACGCCTATCTTGAATTTTGTGTACATGTGGTTACGTAATCGGTTGTGCCATGTTCTGAGGCGGAGGATAATGACTTGTTCTGATCTGTCCATAATAAAATAGTCGTCTTGTGCTGGGGCTGGTGGTTTCCTGATTGATTTAATGATTCTTTTCTTTTGGTGGTATGTGGCTGGTACATCTGGCTGCACTTTTGTCACACCTTCTCCTGCCAGTTGATCAGCTTTCTCATTTCTAGGCACTCCACAATGTGATGGTATCCACTGCATTACAACTCTTCGCTGAAGGCTAAGTTGTGTCAGCCGTGTTTGCAATTCTGGTAGTTTCCTAGACTGGAGTGCTTCAAGTACTGATTTTGCATTACCACATACTGTGAGCCAAGATTGGTATTTAGAAGTTTCTCTGTTGCTATCTTCATAGCCTGAGTTTCTGCATCATAGTTATGGCAGTACTTTCAGGATGGTACGCTGGACTTATCCCTAGTACCATCTGGGAATTCGATGTACACTCCAGCACCACCATATCTAACTGCACTTTCTGCGGACCCATCTGTATAGACTCTGACCCTTTGTGGATATTCTTCATCAGTATAACTGATGGTAACCATTCTGTGTTGTACACTATCTTGTTCTTTTTTGTCAAATATTCCTTTCACATTTGTCTGGATTTGTACTGTTAGTTTGCATTTTTCTCTCCATGGGGTTTGTTCCGGAGTACTTTTAAGTGGGCAACCAATTTCTGGAAGGTCAGGAGTTTGTCTACATATTCTTTTTGCTTGATGTATAAAGCTGCTTCTTTTTAACCGTCCCAAGGCTAGGTTCTGAAATCTATTTTTCATGGGGTGATCTGGCATACTGAGGAACTTTACAGCTTGTATTTGCAACTTTGTATCTCTGCGTTCTCTCAGTGCCTGTGTTTTCCCAGCTTTCTCCATTTCTAATATGGGGGTTGATTTCATCCCTCCTGTGATGACTCTGAGTGCTTGATTTTGCACTTTGTCCAACTCCTTTAATGTGGTACTAGATGCTGAACACCATGCAGTTGACCCATATTCCAAGTGTGGAAGTATACTCTGCTTGTATACTTTATTGAGTATTTTCCCATCTTCTCCCCATGTGGTTCCACTTAGTTTTCTTAGTATTGCTGTCTTCCTCCTGGCTTTGTAATTTGGATGTTTTGTGGGATAAAGATGCATTATGCCAGCTGCCATTTTAAGGGTGAACGGAGAAGCTTTTCATCATGAGTATGACAAATGTGGTGGCAAATTCTTCATGTGGACCAAACAGCAAGCCCTGTGTAATCATGTGATCATTTGATCAGAGTTGACTAAATATATCTGACTGTTGCAGTTTAGTTTGTTTTATCCAAATTATAATTCTGATCCGGGCGTGCTGTATATTTATCACTTAGGGCTCACAGTCTCACCCCCCCCCCCCCCCCAACTACTATCTACCATGTACAATCTTTCTGATATCTTTAAAATCTTGTCCAGAATCTTTAGCCTCTTTCATCAACATTTCTTTATAAGCTTGTTGTATTTTGAAAGGGGTATTATTTATTTACTGTAACAGGAATACACTTGTGATTTAATTATTTTCTTCACTGGGCATCTACTGTGGTCTTCTGGAGCTGAAGGAGTTAACATAGCAATTTCTATTGATAGAATAAAGGGTATAACTGACATCACAAATGATTTCCCTTTTACAGTGGACAAATGTATACAACTATGACTTCTGGCTGTTGGTGTCACCTTTCTTTTGGAGTAAACAAGGCAGGTCAAGCGAAGGAGCATGCAGAATGTTCAACACAATGTCTCTACAATAACCCCCTCTCCCCATTGCTTTCTTCTATAGAGAAGAGGAGCTTTTCCCCTCAAGTGCCCATTACCATAGGCTGTGATTTCCATTCTTCCATGTAGCACAATATAACATTGTCTGGAACCAGCAACAACTTTGTCAGTTGCAATCATGAATAGTACTGGGTGAAAGCTGTTTGTGGCCTGTTCCTCAAAGTGGATGTCAAAGCTGTGTGTGGCCTGTTCCTCAATGTGGATGTCACAGCTGTTTGTGGCCTGTTCCTCAATGTGGATGTCACAGCTGTTTGTAGCCTGTTCCTCAATGTGAATGTCAAAGCTGTTTGTGGCCTGTTCCTCAATGTGGATGTCACAGCTGTTTGTGGCCTGTTCCTCAATGTGGATGTCACAGCTGTTTGTGGCCTGTTCCTCAATGTGGATGTCACAGCTGTTTGTGGCCTGTTCCTCAATGTGGATGTCACAGCTGTTTGTAGCCTGTTCCTCAATGTGGATGTCAAAGCTGTTTGTGGCCTGTTCCTCAATGTGGATGTCAAAGCTGTTTGTGGCCTATTCAATACAAGCACTGGAATGTGCACATTTCTAACTACAGTAAATTGTATTAGTTTTAACAAATCTAAGGAAAATAAGCGCTATTTTTCACATATGTTTTATCTTTTATGGGGGCATATAATCGGTGCTCAGATAATATTCAAACAGTTTCCGATTGTATGTATATGGACTAGTGGTACTTTTGATATGCTGTGGTAGATAGTTCCACAATTGAGCTGCGGAATATGACAAACTTGTTGTAAATAATTAAATCGATACAGGCCACAAACAGCTTTGACATCCACATTGAGGAACAGGCCACAAACAGCTGTGACATCCACATTGAGGAACAGGCCACAAACAGCTGTGACATCCACATTGAGGAACAGGCCACAAACAGCTGTGACATCCACATTGAGGAACAGGCCACAAACAGCTGTGACATCCACATTGAGGAACAGGCCACAAACAGCTGTGACATCCACATTGAGGAACAGGCCACAAACAGATGTGACATCCACATTGAGGAACAGGCCACAAACAGCTGTGACATCCACATTGAGGAACAGGCCACAAACAGCTTTGACATCCACATTGAGGAACAGGCTACAAACAGCTGTGACATCCACATTGAGGAACAGGCCACATATGTCATATTCCGCAGCTCAATTGTGGAACTATCTACCACAGCATATCAAAAGTACCACTAGTCCATATACATACAATCGGAAACTGTTTGAATATTATCTGAGCACCGATTATATGCCACCATAAAAGATAAAACATATGTGAAAAATAGCGCTTATTTTCCTTAGATTTGTTAAAACTAATACAATTTACTGTAGTTAGAAATGTGCACATTCCAGTGCTTGTATTGAATATTTTGATGCTATTGGTAATGTTTAATATTACTTGATGCGTGAATGAAATGATGTCAGAACGGAGGGAGACCTCCAAGGGTAGAATGTTAGACAGGCCTGCATACCCAATTCTGAACCCTTTAAACATAAAGTTTGTTCGTTCGTTCGTTGGTTCAGATGTCTAACTGACTGACTGGCATGGGTGATCATGCTTCTCCATATCTTATGATTGTAAACTCCATATATCTGTTTGAGTGGTGACATCCTTTGTCATAACACCCATGACAAAAGGTTATTGAGAATTTTGCTCATTGTTTCATCTTCCATCTAACTTTCCATAAATGTTTTCAGTTTATCTTATCATAATGTGGCCACAAATTGTGACTACTGCTTTCTCAGCATCATAAAATACATCACAGACAATGTTGAGGAAGGTCAGGCAGCTGCGAGCAAATCACTCATCAGTATCTGTTTTGTGGAGAAATATGGGCCTAGACCTGAAAACCCACCCCCATTGATCATTATTGTGTGGCCAGCCATTCAGCACAGGCAGTAATAGAATAATGATCAGGTCAGATAGCAGATAGGTATAATCAGGAGATATAAGGCACTTCCTTCCGTCTGCCAGCCAAGGGGATATCCTTGGACAAGGTGGCATACTTTTTACGTCCTCCCGCCACCACTACTAATATGGGAAAGCATGGCAGCAGGTGGTAGATTGTGAGAGCAGCCGGCAGATGATAGTTTTTGGTCATGCTCTCAAGTTCCCAGTGGTGGCCAGTGGATCACACAATAGTGACAGTGGCTTTGGTTCTTCAAGCAGGAGTCAAAATCCCTTGACACTCCTGTGGTGCATCAAGCCTATAAGGCTAGGCTGAGATGTTTGATAGACCAGTCACCCTCGGTGAGTGATGTCACCATCATGCTGGACCTTCTGGAAGATGCCAAGACAAATTGTACCTGCCAATATGTCATGGTAACATGGAATCAGAGGTTTTACTTTAAGTCACATGCATAATAGATGTTATCCTTAATGGTAACATGTTGTGTGTGGTTGTGTGATTGTTTCAGATATGGAACAGTCATACTTTATTTAACAATGCAGACGGTGCCGAGCATTTTCAAGGAATTCTGGACACAGCTTTCATGGCTGCTTATGCTGTTGTGAGTTGAACTTCTGAATTTAGTTTGTTTTAGAAAGCTGATGGTTTTTTAATATTTTATGCAGTGAAAGTTGATCAATGAGTGTCGTTGAATTGTATTGTTGTTATTTCTCATTGACATAAATTAGTGAAAAGGAACCCATTGAGGTGGATACCACTAGCCTTATCCTAGGAAGAGAAAATGCGACCTGAAAACTTAATGTAAAAAACAAAGTTATATCAGGCCCTTATCCTTGGTTGGTAGACCTTTTCTCCTGGCGATGCGGGTGTGGTGGGTAATGAATAGGCAGACAGATTGGCTGTATCTGCACTACTGGGTGAGGAATTGATACATGACAAATCAGATGTGGTCAAGGCCCTTTGGGAACAAGCAACGGAATCAGTAGAGAAAGAAGATTATTATGGCCTGGAGAGAATGAGGCACCTGGGTGTAACCAGAGGGTATGGCTGGCTCACTACACTCAGAGGATAGGCAAGATGGACATATAACCAGATTGTGACCGGTACTATCATTATTGGAACACTGCGCTGGCTGCTGAAAATGAGGACGGAGCGTGCATGGGAATGCCCAAAGTGCTGTGATGTCATTCTTGACTCAACTCAACTTGCTGTTTTGCTGGAAGGGAGACATTTAGGTGTCTAAGCAGTGGGACTAACAGATGTCAGCATTTGCCTTCTGTACTCCTCCATCTCTCTATCGAGTCTGCCATCCTCCGTAAATATGCTTTCTGGATATCTACATTCTCGTACTTGTTTTTCTGTAGTACCGTTAACCTGAACGTTCATGATATGTTTCCAGCCTATCCTCATTACCTCAGTTTTTGCGGTGTTTATTTTTATGTGGGACTTTGTGCAGGCTTGATGTAAGGAGTCAGTATGGTGTTATAAATTCTGTTCTGTGTATTAGACATTGATCTTTTACAAAAATGATCTTTAATGATCATTAGTTTGAATCCTCTTTTAAAGTGAGGATAGTTGATTTTACTTGGTTCTTGAACGTACCCAGCCTAAAAAAGGCATTAAGGGAGGGCTCAATATATGGGGTTAACACCATTTACCAAGTTGTTCCTTGGTGTGAAAAGTCATATTTAACTTGCTGTTATAATTAATTTGTATTGTTGTATTATTTTATTATTCCTTTAATAATTGAAATCAGTAAATATTTGCACTGTGGCTACGGGTTTATGAATGTAGTTTTATAATTGTGACATAATCAGGGTATGAAGTCAGCTGCAGTCAGTTTTGTCCGCAGACTTCTTTTTGTTGATTTTGATAAAAGAGTGAGCTTCGAACCCTTCAGAAAGCAGCAGCAGACTACTATATTTGTGTGTGGGTGGTGTGTGTGCATCCCTGCGCCATGCAAGTGGGTGGTGTGTGCGTGCGTCCGTTTATTGTGTGTGTGTGTGCGTCGCTTCGCCATGCAAGTGGATGGTGTGTGCGTGCATTCGTGCGCCATGCATGTGGGTGGTGTGTGTGCACCCCTGCGCCATGCAAGTGGGTGGTGTGTGCGTGCGTCCGTTTGTTGTGTGTGTGTGTGTCCCTGCGCCATGCAAGTGGGTGGTGTGTGTGTGCATTCGTGCGCCATGCAAGTGGGTGGTGTGTGTGTGTGTGTCCCTGCGCCATGCATGTGGGTGGTGTGTGTGTGCATTCGTGCGCCATGCAAGTGGGTGGTGTGTGCGTGCGTACATTTGTTATGTGTGTGTGTGTCCCTGCGCCATGCAAGTGGGTGGTGTGTGTGTGCATTCGTGCGCCTTGCAAGTGGGTGGTGTGTGTGCGTCCCTTCGCCATGCAAGTGGATGGTGTGTGGGTGCATTCGTGCGCCATGCATGTGGGTGTTGTGTGTGCATCCCTGCGCCATGCAAGTGGGTTGTGTGGGTGTGCATCTGTGTGGCATGCAAGTGGGTTGTGTGTGTGTGTGCATCCGTGTGCCATGCAAGTGGGTGGTGTGAGTGTGTGTGTCCGTGTGCCATGCAAGTGGGTATTGTGTGTGTGTGTGTGCATCCATCATGTTTTTTCCCCTGCTGTATGAATGTGGGGTTTGGTAATTGAAAATAGGATATTGACTTGTTACTCTCCATCTTTTGTTATTTTTGGTGTGTGTAAGCAGATATTGAAACTTTCCTGGTTTTAAAACAGCTAACATCTTTTTTAGAATGAATGTGCTTTATTGTATAATTTTTTTAATTTTCAGGGACTCTTCCTCAATGGCTACATTGGAGATAGGTATGGCTAATATTCTAGATGTAGCGTTAATAATTTCTGTTGTTTTTGCTTCATGATGTTAGTCTTTGCAATGTATATATTTTTGTTCTGTCTGCATTTTCAGTATTTCAGAATGTCTCTTCCCTATTAATCCTGTCTGATATATAAAAAAAGTAAAAATCCCTTTTCACGCCTTTAGGCACATAAGGCATATGGGAGGAACACCCATATTTTTACAGACCAATTGCCAATAGGTTGGTAATGTGGTCAGAATTACGCCGACCATCTTTACTTTCCCAGGACATACACCCTGGTACCCATTTTAGGCTGGGTCGTTTTGCGATGCCCCATACTATGATAAAAATTCACACAGTCAGCAGTGGGTTTCGATCGCAGTATGTTGTAATTACGAGTTGGACCTGCAACTCCTAAGCCGTGGGCGATGCTCCTGCTAGAAATACCTTAATTTGTTACTTTTGTTTGACTGATGATATGGCCATGAAAGTTTTCACAAGATATCCTGCTGGCAGATATTCTACCTTGGTGGATAGATCATAGACTGACTCATTAACAGTGAAACTGAGACTCAGCTTCCGTTATAGATAAATTCCTCCACCTCAGCTCAGTTTGACTCAGGAAATAGACCCTAACTCATAAACCTGGGTGCGAGGAAGTTCTTTAGATGTTGAATTAATAATCAACATCATAGCACTAGGGACACTCCCATAAGCGCTCCATCCCCATCTTCAGCAGCAAATGACGAGTTCCAATTCCGATGGCACAAGTAACTGATTCTAAATCCGTCTCCCCTTTTCCCTGAGTGTTGAGCAGTGGCCAGATCCCCTGGCAACTCCTCGCAGCGCCATTCTCCCCAGACCGTAATGATCTGTTTGCGCTTCCTCAACGTTCACTCGCTCCCTTACAACATCTAGCTTGTTATACATCATTTCACAACCAAGTGGTGCAGAACCGGCCAGTCTATCTCCCTGCTCATTTCCCACCACACTGACATGAGCTGGAGAGAATATCCAAAGGATGCTAACTAACCGGGACTTCTGAAGTGACGCTTGCCACTCTGCACGGAGCATACCTGTCTTCACCTTTCTCAACATGCTCTGTGAGTCAGTTACAATCACGGCATGTGTTTACAGCTGATTCTCAAGCCAGCGAAATGCAGCAGTGACTACCTCCACTCCATTCTCAAAGTATACGTTGTGATATCATATGCCAGGCTTTGATGCACTAAGCGACGTTCATTCACTTTTGCTATGAACTCCCATGCACCTCGTCTGCACATCAATACAAAGAAATCTGTATAGATAATCACATCACTTGCGCGGGAATTCCCATGAATTATTTGTTGAACTTCTGATCCTGCAGCGCCAGCTGGCCTGTCCCTGCACTCATGACCAAAAATGATTAGAACCCTACAAATCTGAAACTTGCTATGACACTCTGACCCACTACTTAACTTGCACAAATTTATTAAGCCTACACACAAGTCTGATTGTGTCTTCAGCTTGCGCCATCCAAGACCTTCCTCTTCTCAGTCTGTGACCCTTAGCTCTACCAAGGGCTTCATGCAGGAGGTGCTTCTTGTCTGAGATATGGCTTTGCTTGCAGAACATTGAGCCTATCTGCAATAGTCGGCAGTGCAAGTATATATCACTTACATACTACTGGGGCATCTCTTGTACATGCCAGAATTACCCGCATGGCTTCATTCTGTACGCGTTTAAGTTTCATCAGCTGACTCTTTGATATGGTAAGCATGCCAAGTCCATAATCTATCACCGACAGGAACACATGCTGGAACATTGTGAACAGCTTTTTTTGTTCCATGTCCATTGCTGCCATAATCTTGTGCTATCCGCTGCCTGTTAATCCCCTGCCTATATGCAAGAACATCATCAGCAATATCCTTCCAACACCTGGTGCTTCAAGTTCTTCAAGTCTACACAAATTGAAATTGCAGAACCCTAGGTTAGTCCCGAGGCAATATTACATGGTTCTGAGGTCCATGTATCCAGGCGAAGGGCTACCATACGTGAATGTAGGACAGCTGCTATCTAGTTCACAAGCCAGGGACAAACCCCCTTCTTCATGAGTGCAGATAGCAAAATATCATATCTGACTCTATTGTAGGCATCCTCAAAATCAAGTGCTGCCACAACTGTCTCTGGTCTGTTTTGGAAGCCCTCATAAATATCAAAAGCAAAAGTAGCTGCATTTGACTAGGTATTTTTTCGTAGTCAGTAACTACCTAAACCTTTTGGCAGGAGCTCTTCCCTTTCCAAACATATTTGTCGTTTAACAGCAATAATTCTCCCAAGCACCTTGCCAAAAGTAGGGTGATAATCCTGAAACCGCTGAGTGTGGAATAATCTTTGCCCTTTTTTTTTGGAAGTAGGATTAGATAACTGTGTACCTAATCCTGGGGTACTGAAACTATTCTGATGCTCTTGTTGAAATGAAAAGCCATCTGCCTGAAGTGTTCCTCACTCATGCTCTTCATATGATCATACCTGACTTCATCGGACCCTGCGTGCAGTGTCTTTTGTTTTTTTGCTATATATATTTTATTCTTCTTCTTCTTTCGTTCGCATGAAATAAATTGTCTATATCTGCAAAGCTGTCTCTAGTATGAATTTCACTGTCTTTTGTAATTCACTAAGCGGCCCATAAAGTTTGGCTTCCACAAGTGTCTCTTTTGGCCAAAGGTTTTGCCTGAAAGCGTTGAATCTGGGACAGTCTTGAAGGATGTGATCTGTTGTTTCAGGTGCTAGTCCACAAGTACACATGGCTGATTGGCCAATCTTAAATTTGTTGTACATGTGGGAGCGAAGTCGATTGTGCCCTGTTCTAAGGCGAAGGATAATGACTTGCTCTATATATTTTATATCCTCCACCCTAATGATATCCTGAAAAGTTTATTATTTATATGGACAGATTAACTCTTAACTGAATTTCTAAGCTGCCTATCATTGTGATCAGTTTGGAATCTAAATCTCTCCAGAAAAGCTTCCCCTTTCTCTGTGTCTGTTGTCATAGGCTTATCATTATCAGTGAGAGGCTGATCCTTCCTTTGCATCTGTCTGTGAAGTTTCCCAAACCTACCCAGTGATTCATCCCCTCCAATTTCGCTCAAAAAATGTTCCCATTTAACCTTTTTTGCATCTGCTGCGTACCGCTTAAACTCTTCTTCTTTTTCTTTTTTATCTCTTTCTAGCTTCTTTACTTCTTGTATCCTGTGAGGTGTCTTTCACACTTTCTGTAATTGCTTAACTGCTGCTCGCTTTGCTCTCCATGCCTGTTCTACTTCTTGAGTCCACCATGGAGGTGGCACAGAAGAGGTGGTTCTGCTGCATACCTTCTGTCGGAGGCATCCAAGAAGAGTACTGTCCCTCTCATACTTAAAAGTCCTGCGCGTTCTCACAGCCCTAATCTTGCTAGCACAAGGAAGTTCTTTAGGAAGAAAATGCGACAGGAGATTAATTTTGGCATCAAACTTTTTCATTCTCTGTCTGCTGTTTGTCTAATAACAAAGCATAGAGCCTCAATCAGTTCTTGACACGATATTTAAGACTTGTTCATAAATGGTTGACTTTACAACAGTTTTCTACAGTTGGCAACATCAACTTCCCACATGGGCCCTGATAACCCACAGCTGACCTACTGAAACAGTTCAGGACACTTCTCTCGCATTTAGGGCCTTTAGGGCTAGACCTATATTTTATAGAACTATTGACACTCAGTGTGTGATATGGTAAACATCAAGCCGAACGCCTTTGCTTCCCAGGATTGAGCTGCTAGCCATTTAAAGCTGGGTCATCATAAGAGCCAAGCTCTTTTCTTTTTTCAATTACGGCTCCTTCTGGACTTGAAACCACAACCTTCGGATCTGCAGGTGAGCATCTAGCCGCTAAGCCACGATGGCCCCAGCTGACCTAATGCCGTAGGCAGATTTCTGGAAAATCCTAACACTCAGCACTTGTGTGTGAATCTCCACATGTGGATTACAATTTTCTGGGAAATCCTAACATTCAACACTTGTGTGTGAATCTCCACAAGTGGATCACAATTTTCTGGGAAATGCTAACACTCAACACTTGTGTGTGAATCTCCACAAGTGCATTACACTTTTCTTTCATATCATCCTGTAACAGGGTCAACATGAGGATTCTCCTGGCTGTCGGCATGGCAGGCACCTCAGTCACGGTGAGTTTTTACTTTTGTTTCACATTTCCAGAAGTAGAATGGTGGTTGACATAAATAATGCCATGGAAGCCTGGGGATTGACACGACAACCAGTCTTCTTATTTTGCCCTTTTTCCCTCAATGGAGCATATGACCAGGTCAGGTCCAAATAACCTATCCATTGCTTTTGCATGCAGCTCACCCCATGTTCTCCCCATTTTATTACTGAACTTTCTAGCTTCCTTCTCCATGTGTTTTTTTTTTTGGTTTAGATTTATTTACATGCCCCTTTTGGTTTTGATTTATTGACATGCCCCTTTTGGTTTTGATGTCAAGACATTCTAGTGATATTGTTCTGAGGTTTCTCAGTATGTGCCCTATCTGAGGCCAACTTTTTTTCCTTACCCCTCGATTCACTGGAATGTGTTTTCTGCAGTCAGATCTAATCAAGTGTCAGCGAGCCAGACCCTGTATATTTCACATGTGGATTTATTCATCCATGAAGATGGTTGTGCACACGCATGTAATCTTTCTTTCGTTTACCAGTCTCCCCCCTCACCCCTTTTTTCCTCTCTCTATCTGGACTCAAGGGCCTCCTGTGGGTTGGAGGTTGTGGGGGGGGGGGGGGGGGGGGGGAATACTGCACCTTTACCAGTATGTTGTAAAAGGCGACTAATGTAGGATTGAATGAAATCAGATGTATTGGGTCAAAAAGGTGCAGATATTCCAGCCTCGTTATAAAACTGCATTGTTTCAACTGTGTTCATAAGGACAAATGCAAAAAAATAAAAATAAAAGAAGAAAAAGCAAATTGCTTATTTTTTTTAATTGAAACATTGAGATTAACTACTTTTGTACTGCGGCATTTCGGTTTTCTAAATGTTATTTTCTTTTTGGTCATTAAAACATTCTCTTTTATCTATATGGATCCGTCTTTTGTCCGGCTTCCTGGTCATATTGTGTTGTTTATTTATATGACATGCTGTGGCCTAGTATACATGAAGCCTTTTTAATTTCCCACCTCTTTGCCAGTATCTACTATAGGATTACCTTGACCTTTGATGTTAATCTCTTTTATAACTACCTCAAGAGTGCATACTAATGGTCTCCTGTAGTACCCACATAGCACTTTCCAGACAATGCTAGTGCTTTTTTGTTTATAAAGGCTGTGTTGTTTTTATATATATATAATAAATGCAGCAGTACTTTGTCTATATCAGTGCTACAGTTTTAGCATATAAATTCTTTCTTTCTTTCTTTCTTTCTTTCTTTCTTTCTTTCTTTCTTTCTTTCTTTCTTTCTTTCTTTCTTTCTTTCTTTCTTTTTCTATTAATTCTCTCACTCTGTTTCTTCCTCAGTTATTTCTTTCTAGCTCTTAATTTTTTTCTCTTTCTCTTGGTTTTTTCCCCTCTCTCTTCTTTCCCTTCTCTTGTCCTTTTAGTTGTTTCTTTCTGTCTCTTTCTGTCTGATTTCTTATTTATGTATTATTTCTCTCTTGGTTCTTTCTTCCTTTCTTTCTTTGATGGCTCCTGAGTAAACTTAGTTCAATAGTCCTGCTACATTGGCCTCAACCTATATACCAAGGAGTCCGATTCTTTGCCATCGCGTACAGCTCACCACATATTTATCACATGTTAACCCTCTTAGCACGGACGGGCCGATTATCGGCTGGCGGATGTCTGGCCAAAAACACAGAACGGCCAATCATCGGCCCGATCGTGTTTCGCCTCAAACCGCTAAGAAATCTCCTATTTTGAAACACTGAAAGTGATTCATTTATATTAACTGCGGTATTAGCTTTACACATGGCGACTTTCGAGTGTTTGCTATCGAAGTGAAAATTGTTGAATTTTTTAGATAGTGACCTGAACCGCTAAAAGTATGTCTGACTCGTATGTTTCTGCCCCTAAACTTGATGTTGATAAAACATTTGAATCAAGTGATGACACTAATTATGTTGATACTGATGCAGGATTTAGTGTTAGTAGTAATAGTGGGAATCAGATGGGGACGCTGTTGTGTTCAGTCACAGCCCAACTATGGCTCAGGGTATATCCACCCGAAGGTGTTGACACTCCGGCACATCCATTTCTTGTGCTGACTGATGGTGAAAAACACATGTCACCTAAAGATATTATTGCTGTTTCATAAATATATACCTGTTTTTGACTATTGAATTGCTTACAACATTTGCAAACAGGCCAAAGATCAATAAAAACATTTCAAATAAAAAAAAATTTTGTTTTTAGTTTTATGTTTCAAGCATTGAAGTTGAAAATTCAAATTCAAATTTTCTATTTTTAGATATGCAAATGAGATAATTTGCATATACATCAATTAATTTTTACGATATTGTGAAAATCATGAACTTCAATCTATATCCTTCAAATAGATATATTATTTCATGGGGGTCAGAATAACAGAAATCTGTCAAAAAAATTTAATAAAGTAATAACCAAATTCACTGAAAAAATGCTCCGTGTTTTTGGCTAGACCTCTGAAAAACTTCCCGTGCTAAAAGGGTTAAATAACCAGTAACACGACTGAGTACCCCAGAAGGGACTGTTTTACTCTTTCAGTCCCTAGTCATATGTTCATAGGTCCCTACCTAGAACCCCAGTGAACACAAGGTGCACGTATTTTGCATCTCCCCTTACCACCTCTTGAGCCTCTGATGCTAAAGCCTTTGGGACTGAAAGAGTTTTTGTAATGAAGTTTACTTTGATAAGGTATGCAAATAATTTGCTTACTTTGGATTCCAGGTGTTTGTGTTTGGGTGTGTTTGTGAGTGGGCATCATACTACAACATATACTTCTATGCAGCTGTGTGGATCATAAATGGCTTTTTGCAGTCCACTGGTTGGCCTGTAGTCGTTGCTTGTATGGGAAACTGGTTTGGGAAAAGCAGGTTAGTTGCAATATCTCTGCAGTTATTAACTATTCTTGAAGATGATGTAATTTTTGTATAGCAACATGAATTGATCATTACAGTGGGAGATAGAATTGTGCTGGGAATGACAAGGAGATCTGGTCGAGACATTACGTGCTGAGAAAAGGCAGGTGGGACATATCTCTTCTTCTTCTTAGCATTCACCTGTTATAAACTCTGGCAGAAAGTTCTGGTTGTTTGTCCACTTCTGGACTTTGGTCTTATTACAGAATTTGAGTTTTACATGCAAATCCAGTTTAAAGATTTGGCTTATCTGAATGCACACTGTTGGTTCCTTGCCTCTTATGCAGATGCACTCTGACTTGGAGGGAAACACCCCTGATTAGTCACCTTCTACAGTCACCTTCTACAGTCACCTTCTACAGTCACCTTCTGCAGTCATCTTCTGCAGTCAACTTCTACAGTCACCTTCTACAGTCACCTTCTGCAGTCATCTTCTACAGCAGTGTTGTTGAGACACCAGCAATCATTGCCATTGTTTTTCTGGCTGTTATTTGGGCATCACAAAAGGGTTACATAGCAACATTCAGTCCAGTGTGGGTGGGTTTTTTGTGACAAGGATTTTTAGATCTCTTTTATATTGTGTTTCTCTCCCCTCCCTTTCTCTCTCCCTCTCTCCTACCCTATCTCTCTCTGTCATATTCAGCATCAGTATGCTCCTCACCTCGTGAAATCTGGAATTTATTAGTTCTTTCGTGATTCTTTCATACCATTTTGATTTGTGTGTGTTCTGCTTAGGCACCGTTTAATGAACATTTGCAGTAGATTTTGATCAGTGATTGCTATGCCACATGATGATGATTATGTGTTGTATCCAGTATCAGAATAATTCCCCTAAAAACACCACAGAATGACATCAGGATTATTGTGCACCAGAATACACAAGGATCAAAGAGAGCCAGAGCTGTAGATGTCTGATCTTTCGTACAGTGGAGCACACCAGCTGTTCTGCCTTATAGAGTACCTATAGAGTGAAAGGGCCACACTTAGGTCATAAGTCCCTTGATCAGGAAAACCCTTCTACAACCAATCCAGTTGTGAGTAACCAAAGAGGCATAAAACAAAATGGATCTAGAGGAGACAACCTTGATTTAAAAAAAAAAAAAAACCAAGTCTATAGTGGACACATGTGTTTACTGGTTAAATGTCTGTGGGTTAAACAGTTGTGAACATGGAATGTCTGATTAGCGGGTGAGGCTAAGCCAGGCGTTTGGACTCTGTGGGGACATCCCCTGTCTCTTCCCTGGCAGGCAGGCAATACTAGGGTGACCGTTTACTTCCTGCATTCAAAGAATATTTTCTATGGTTTTTGTACTTGATAATACAAGGCCCGACAATTAAGTAATGAGACTGATTTTATTATGGCCAAGACAAAAATGCTATCTATGAAGCAAAGCATGAAATCTAAAGAGACAACATTCATCTATGATTTGGAAACTTTTCATCGCCGCTCGATAAGCAGACAGCAAACAAGCCGCCATTTTGTTGACCTAGTCAGAGTGCATTGTTATGTAATCAGCATGGAGCAAAAAGCTAACATCAAATGCTTTTTAAAACTCAGAAAAAGCGCCAAGTTTTTGGGGATAATTGTTTATCTAGTGCACAAATTTTCAGCTGGTATTCGCGATTCAAAAGTGGTGTGGAAATGATTAATAATGTACCTGTACGCCAAATTTCTGTTCGTAATGATGAACTCATTGCAAAAGTCAGAGAACGGATACAAGAAGATAATTGTTTACTGTGAGGATAATGGCAGATGCAACTGGTGTTAATAGAGAGACCATTAACAACACTTTAGTGCAAGATTTTGGAAAGAAAAAAGTTGCTTTGCCAGTTTGTACCACTTTCGTTTTTTGATGACCAAATTCATCAGCGGGTTGAGTACCCAAGAGACACCATCAAAACAAGAATTTTTGGCCCTAAAACAAGTGTGTGTTCTCAGCCACACCCCCCCCCCCCCTCCCCTCCACCCCGTTCCCCAGATTATCTCCCTGTGATTTTCTATTCCCAAAATTGAAGTTACGATTAAAAGGATGCATCTTTAATGAAATTCATGACATCCAAAGGGCAGTAACATTGACTTTAAGGGCCATAACAACAGAAGAACTACAGAGGTTGTTGCAGTGTTTGTTAGATCATGCCACTTGCTGTGTCAATTCACAAGGGGCTTACTTTGAATCTAATAAAGGTTATATTTTCAACTGTTAATTATTTTAATTTTTATGGAATTAGTCTCATTACTTAATTGTTGGACCTTGTAAAAAGAATAATCACCGGAGCTACGGAGTGCTTGATACTATCTTCAGGAAAACGAAGAGAGTGGGAAGAGGAGAAGATAAAGAAATAGAGAGACAAGAAGACATAGATATAGGAGAGACGGAGCCCGGGGAGTCAGGCGAGAAATGGAGCATCTGGGATCAAAGCATGTTAAAATGGGTTACTGGAATGGTCGTAGTGCCAAGCAGACAGGACCTGTACTGGAGAGACTTATTTATGACTTTGATATCATCATGCTGCAGGAATTAAACATAGATATGAGTGTCCTTGATTGATGACTTTGATATCATCATGCTGCAGGAATTAAACATAGATATGAGTGTCCTTGATTGATGACTGTGATGTCATCATGCTGCAGGAATTAAACATAGATATGAGTGTCCTTGATTGATGACTGTGATGTCATCATGCTGCAGGAATTAAACATAGATAGATATGAGTGTCCTTGATTGATGACTTTGATATCATCATGCTGCAGGAATTAAACATAGATATGAGTGTCCTTGATTGATGACTTTGATATCATCATGCTGCAGGAATTAAACATAGATAGATATGAGTGTCCTTGATTGATGACTTTGATATCATCATGCTGCAGGAATTAAACATAGATATGAGTGTCCTTGATTGATGACTTTGATATCATCATGCTGCAGGAATTAAACATAGATATGAGTGTCCTTGATTGATGACTTTGATATCATCATGCTGCAGGAATTAAACATAGATAGATATGAGTGTCCTTGATTGATGACTTTGATATCATCATGCTGCAGGAATTAAACATAGATATGAGTGTCCTTGATTGATGACTTTGATATCATCATGCTGCAGGAATTAAACATAGATAGATATGAGTGTCCTGGATACATTAGTTACACCAGTCCTCCTGGACAGGGAAGACATGGACAGTGTCTGCTGGTGAAGAATGGGCTGAAGCATGTGGTTCTGGACCTGGGCCAGTGGAATCATAGTAAACTAGAGCTTCACGGTTTACAGATAGATAATGGGGAAACAACCTAAAAAAAAAAGTAAAGGACATTTTCCATGCCTTTAGGCGTTTAGGGCATAGAGGACTAGACCTAAATTTTTATAGACCAATCGGCACAAGATGGGTGATGTGGTCAGCATCACACCGGCCGCCTTTACTTTCCCGGGACTGCACCCGGTACCCACTCAAGGCTGGGTCGACCTGGGAGCCAAGGTCATTATTGAAAACAGTCTGGCTCCACCAGGGAGCGAACACACGACCTTTTGATCCGTGGCGAGCATCTAGCCGCTCGGCCACGGCGACTCCCTGGAAACAACCTGGAATTTAGTCAATGTTTACACTGCTATTGAATCTCTTGTCACAAAGGAACATTGGGACTGGCTCAATCAGTTGGAGGAAGACCCAAGTAATAGGCTTCTCATTTGTTCAGTGCGCAGAACAGAGCATGGGACAGTACTGGGGAAAATAGGAAATGCTTTAGCAGAGGCTATGGTGGATGCAGACAGTCTGTATAAACGACGGTAGACCAACTAGAATGGCAACGAGACCTGGTGATGCAGACACGGCCATTGAGTTGGCCTTTGTTACCCAGTCAGCAGTGCTGGACACAAAATGAAGTGTCTTAGGCGATCATGGGAGTAACCATTTGCTTTGCTCAGTCTTTTTTCTAAAACTAGCAGGATTAAGGCTGTGAGAACGCTCAGGACTTTTAAGTATGAGAGGGACAGAACCCTTCTTGGATGCCTCCGACAGAAAGTATGCAGCAGAACCACCTCCTGTGCTTTTGTACAGCCTCAATAGTGGACCTAAGAAGTAGAACAGGCATGGAGAGCAAAGCGAGCAGCAGTTAAGCAATTACAGAAAGTGTAAAAGACACCTTACAGAATACAAGAGGATGTAGAGAAGCTAGCAAGAGATAAAAAAGAAAAAGTAGAAGAGTTCAAGCAGTGTGCAGCAAATGCAAAAAAGGCTAAATGGGAACATTTTATGAGGTAAATTGGAGGGGATGAATCACTGGGTTGGTTGTGGAAACTTCACAGACAGATGCAACAACAAGGATAGGACTATCACAACAGGCATTATATACACTGATAATAGTATGTCAATGACAACAGACAAAGAGAAAGGGGAAGAATTTTTGAAGAGATTTATAGCGCAAACTGATCATAATGATACAGAGGTTAGAAATTCAATTGGAGTTAATCTGTCCAGTCCTATAAATGATAACTATTTTCAGGATATCCTTATCAATCACACTACCAAAACCAGGTAAAGATCATTCCAGACTCAGCGGTTTCAGGATTATCACCCTAAAAATACTTTTGGCAAGAAGAAGAGAAGATAATTGCTGTTAAACTACAAATGATTTTGGAAAGGGAAAAGCTCCTGCTAAAAGGTTTAGGTAGTTACTGGCCACAAAAAAATACCTGGACAAATGCAGCTACTTGATTTAGAGGATGCCTACAGTAGAGTCAGATATGATATTTTGCTATCTGCACTCATGGAAAAGTTGTTTGTCCCTGGCTTGTGAAGTGGAAAGCAGCTGTCCTGCAGGCTTGATAAATGTGTGCAGAATCAGAAGTTCCACAAATAATTCATGAGAATTCCCGCCCAAGCGATGTGATTATTTATACAGATATTCTGTGTTGAGGGGCAGATGGAGTGCATGGGGTTTCATATCAAAAGCAAATGAACGTCGCTTAGTGCATGATATCATAACGTCTAGTCTGAGAATAGAGGCGGAGGCAGTCCCTCTTGCATTCTGCTGGCTTAAGAATCAGCTGTACACACATGCTGCGATTGTGACTCACAAAGCATGTTGAGAAAGCTGGAGACAGGTATGCTCCATGCAGAGTGGCAAGCATCACTTCAGAGGTCCCGTGTAGCTAGCATCCTTTGGCATCTCTCCAGGTCATGCTGGTGATTTGGGAAATGAGCAGGCAAATAGACTGGCTGGTTTTGCACCACTTGGTGGTGAATTGATGTATGACAAGCTAGATGTTGTTAGGGCCCTCTGGGAGGGAGTGAACAGTGAGGAAGCGGAAAAAGATCATTAGTCTGAAGAGAATAGTGCTGCAAGGAGTTGCAGAAGTAAATTATGATTGGGAAGCTCATTGAAGAGAAGGGAAGGGAAAAAGTGCTCATAGATACAGCTGAACGTTTTAGCCAGTCTCTTTGCCAAGGTAAGCATGTACACAGTGAGTGGTCTCAGCCTTTCATTACTGAGGGAGAATCAGTACCTATGGGTTTGCTCTGTCATTTAAAATGATTGACTTTTGAGCCATTTCTGTTTACTGTACACATTTTCTCATTTCAGTCGCGGTGTTTTGCTTGGCTTGTGGAGCTCTTGTGCCTCAGTAGGAAACATTATAGGAGCTCTGATGGTTGCTTCGGTGTTGTCCTATGGGTATCAGGTAGGATGTAGTTATAATTAGGGCTGTACCGAATATTCGCTTCGTTTTCACTTCAGGGCCGAATAGTGAACCTAGTAACTATTCGGTATTCGTCCGAATATTTGCGGTGGGGCCGAATATGAATAGTGACACCCGTTTCTGCATACACTGAGATGGAATCTCTGTTTAACACAATAGTTGCTGTTGCCTAAGTCTGTCGTAGTGGAGGAAACTGGGACCCCGTTGCGTGGTACAGCAGCTGGCAAGGTCTTTGCCTGCTGACTCAAACGAGGCATTACAGCAGAGGTTCTCAAACTGGGTGCATATGCCAGGGGTGCCGCGGTGAAAATCAAGAAAAGTCGGCTATAAATTGTGACATTATTAAAGAAGGCATGAAGATACTTAGAAGTTTAAATTTAAATTGTTTTTCCTCACCACTGTTGACAATTTTTTTCTTCTTGTATCATACTGCATAAAATGTCAACCGCAGCATGCTAAAAATTGTCTTTGTATTTATCTCGAGGTGCGACTGATCCTCCATCTGTATTCGTGAGTGCAGCGGATAAGTAAGGTTGTGATAACATTTTGGCTGAAATTTTAAAGCGGGAAATGTGGTCTGTACAATAGTAACTGTTAGCCTCGTCAAGTAAGCACTTATATTTAAAGGCAATGCGTTGTGAGTCCTGGCAATCGGTAGGCAGGCCATACAATTTCCTGAGGCCTCAGAGATTTTTTTTTCTACAGAACAATGCTTAAAATACCCTGGACAGCCAAAAAAAAAAAAAAGCAACCAAGAGGTTTTGAAAGAGGCGGGAGCCCGAAGACAACCAATGACAAACATCAGAAGGAGACAGTCATCATTTTTCGACCATGTTATGAGAAGAGGGAAAATGAAACATGTTGACCACTGGAAAGATCTGTGGAAGGAGGGATAGAGGAAGACAACGAGAGAAGATTCTTGACAATCTTGTTGATTAGCATTGAGGTGTGTCAGCACACGAACTAACACATGCTGCAGGAGATCGTAGATTGTGGCGAGGCATAATTGCCCACGCCAGTCGGCAAGGCAACTGATGATGATGATACACTATTTGTATTCGTTTATTCGTATTCGGCCGAATAGTTGGTCCCGCTATTCATATTCGACCGAATAGTTGGTCCCGCTATTTGTATTTGGCTGAATAGTTGGTCCCGCTATTTGTATTTGGCCGAATAGTTGGTCCCGCTATTCCATATTTGGCCGAATAGTTGGTCCCACTATTTTTATTCGGCAGAATAGTTGGTCCCGCTATTCGTATTCGGCCGAATAGTTGGTCCCGTTATTCGTATTCGGTGGAATAGTTGGTCCCGCTATTCGTATTCGCGGCCGAATAGTAAAAATCACTATTCAGTACAGTCCTAGTTATAATACTGTAGTCTTGTTTATTGCTCTTCATCTGCATTGACATCTGTGGCTAAGGTATTACAAATGTGCTTTGTAATTCCAAAGTATCTGCTTTTATTCCAGCCGCAAATAACCCACTAGCATGAATTTAAACAATGGGATTGAGTGCTGACAATTCATAAAACAATGGCAAATTACTGAAAGAAAAATTGCTAAGTAAAACCAAACAAGCAAAACATGCTGGGGTTGGTTCTGAAACTTCCTATAAAGCATATGCAGCTTTCTTTGTCTTGACATTGACTCGGCTGCCACGAGATATGAAGAAAATTGACATTATGTATTTGTGTAATATTGTCTGTTCTATGTATGTGCTGAAGAAGACTCCATAGCCGTAACGTTCACATTTTGTTTGTGTTTGTTATACGTGAAGCTCGCTGATATACTTTTTGTTTGGTTTTACATCTTTTCTTGATATTCTTTTTTTTTAAATTTATCTGCTTGGGGGGGGGGGGGGGGGGGGGGTGTCATGGTGTCTCTGATTCTTGTTTCACGTTCTTGGTGCACTTTATCATTGCTCTGTGTTGTTGTCCTATAAGTATCAGGTAGAATGATGTTACATGATTGATTGTAGTCTTGTTTGTTGCCCTCATCTACCATGTGATGTAGTCTTGTAGAGACCTCTGCTAATACAGATTTATGTGGTTTGTTTCACACTAAATGCTGTAGAATGTAGAAGGTAATGGTAGTGAACTGTCTCTGAATCTCTTATGTGTTTAGGCTTTAGTTTTGGAACCACTGCCTTGTGTTATTTACTTGCAATCACTTGGCAGTTATGATTCGTTTTGTTTACCTCTTTTGGTTTAAAATGACATTATGTTAATTTAATTTTGATACATCATTTAAACTGGAGCAGTGGCTGGCTGGACTTGTGAAACTAGAGATATAAAGTCTAACCAGACTTGTGAAGCTAGAGACATAAAGTCTAACCAGACTTGTGAAACTAGAGACATGAAGTCTAACCAGACTTGTGAAGCTAGAGACATGAAGTCTAACCAGACTTGTGAAGCTAGAGACATAAAGTCTAACCAGACTTGTGAAGCTAGAGATATAAAGTCTAACCAGACTTTTGAAGCTAGAGACATGAAGTCTAACCAGACTTGTGAAGCTAGAGATATAAAGTCTAACCAGACTTGTGAAGCTAGAGATATAAAGTCTAACCAGACTTTTGAAGCTAGAGACATGAAGTCTAACCAGACTTGTGAAGCTAGAGACATAAAGTCTAACCAGACTTGTGAAGCTAGAGATATAAAGTCTAACCAGACTTTTGAAGCTAGAGACATGAAGTCTAACCAGACTTGTGAAGCTAGAGACATAAAGTCTAACCAGACTTGTGAAGCTAGAGATATAAAGTCTAACCAGACTTTTGAAGCTAGAGACATGAAGTCTAACCAGACTTGTGAAGCTAGAGATATAAAGTCTAACCAGACTTGTGAAGCTAGAGATATAAAGTCTAACCAGACTTTTGAAGCTAGAGACATGAAGTCTAACCAGACTTGTGAAGCTAGAGACATAAAGTCTAACCAGACTTTTGAAGCTAGAGACATGAAGTCTAACCAGACTTTTGAAGCTAGAGACATGAAGTCTAACCAGACTTGTGAAGCTAGAGACATAAAGTCTAACCAGACTTGTGAAGCTAGAGATATAAAGTCTAACCAGACTTTTGAAGCTAGAGACATGAAGTCTAACCAGACTTGTGAAGCTAGAGACATAAAGTCTAACCAGACTTGTGAAACTAGAGACATAAAGTCTAACCAGACTTGTGAAGCTAGAGACATAAAGTCTAACCAGACTTTTGAAACCAGAGACATAAAGTCTAACCAGACTTGTGAAACTAGAGACATAAAGTCTAACCAGACTTGTGAAGCTAGAGACATAAAGTCTAACCAGACTTGTGAAACTAGAGACATGAAGTCTAACCAGACTTGTGAAGCTAGAGACATGAAGTCTAACCAGACTTGTGAAGCTAGAGACATGAAGTCTAACCAGGGTTCCGTTTTTTTCCATGCCTCAACTTTGTGGTGAAGGGCAATAGCTGTAAAGTTTTGCCAGCAGTAGCATTGCTTCTAGCACAGTCAAGAAGGTAGAAGAGTTTAGCATGAGATGTTTGAGAGCTGACACTTTTTTACTGAGGAATTCAAACAGAAGAGAAAAAAGACTACCCTTGTGTCTGTATTCAACTGTTGCATTTTTATGCTTGTTTACTGAGGACAGTTGCCAGTTGGTCATTGATGTATTTTGCTTTTATTTCTGCAGTATGCCTTTTTGATGACCTCTTGTGTTCTCCTGTCTGGATCCTTTATGGTCTTCTTTGGATTGGTTCCATCACCGGAAGATGTGGGTAAGGAAAGCTTGGATTAGGGTTTACTTTTCAACATTGGTAATAACTTTTTAGTTTCACTAACAGTGCCTCATGAACAATCTTTAGCCCTTGGCTCATTAAATTGTATGCAGCAGTAAAGTAGACATGTCATTGTAGTGGCAATCTGGCATTGCCAAATAGTGTCCTGTTGTCTAGGGGAGGGAAGGTTGTTGTAGTGGCAATCTGGCATTGCCAAATAGTGTCCTGTTGACCAGGGGAGGGAAGGTTGATGATTCTTCATCGCAGTTTATAAATTATCCTCCAGATCAGTAGATCCACATAAGCTCAGATTTATGGAGCGCCCATATTTCTTAAGGTCTGACATTGACCCCATAATTTTTTATAGTTATACCAAAGAACTTATTTGTAAATGTTAGAATCACAGAAAGGATTGCAGTCTGAAGATGCATTTAGGGTGTGTGTGTATGTGTGTTTTTTAAGATGGTATCATGGACCCATGCAATAAATCCAATAAATTTTGTTTGACATCGTCATCACGTGCTGTGTGAAAAAGCGCAACACAAAAATCTTTTATCTGAAAGCAAAATAGACTAGCAAAATTTACGTAACTTTCCAATCATTCAACGTACACTTATCACATTTTTTAGTTTTTCACAAAATTTAACCCACTGACTACCAGCGTCGCACGTAATGCGACGAGGCGACGTTTACTTCCTGTTGCCAACGTCACACTCCTTGCGATTTCAGCTTTGGATGCTCGCCGTCATGTTAAAATCGCGATTTTTATGATGGATTTAGTTGAAACCTCTAGCTTATTCATTTCTGTATGGTTAATTAAGGGAAATAACTTCGTAGTGCTTAAAGTAAATATTTGACGAATTGTTTTAGTTAGCTCCCATGACGGTGAGACATTGACGAAAAATTCATCATGGCGTCAAATTATCGCAACCATCGTGGTGGCCATATCTCTCCTAATTTTTCTGATGATGCATGCGATTTTCTTGATTTTGCTTCAAAAAGTGAATTTGAAGACACTTCTGAACAGTTTGATGGCTATGGCTGTAATAAATTTAACGAAGTGCCATTCAAAACATCGTCGACTGTAACACTGTAAAACGACAGTATGACGCTTCGAAGTCGTCTGACAAAGACAGTGTTGTCAGCTGAAAGCACTAGTGCTGCAGTTTATGATGCTAATAGTTCTTGTGAGAGTATTCAGTCAAAGCCCACAGATTATAAAGATTTTGTGCTTGAGTATGCACATGACGAAGATATCATTGCCGCTTTTGATTCAGAATCATCATCATCTAACGAGTCCGGAGAAGATGTGCCACGCCCCCAAATGGTTGATGACTGGCATTGGGATTTAGAAGGCTTTCCTGGAGTACCCCCATTTACTGGCACTTCTGGTTTATTTCTGCCAGAAGGAACCAATGAACCACTGGATATTTTCTTCAGTAAAGACATACTTGCTGTGTTTGCTAAAGAAACAAACCGTTATGATATGCTGAGACAAAGATTAGTGCTGGAACTGGAAACACACAACCCCAAATGAAGTGACAGGGTTTCTTGTACTGTTGTGTCACATGTGTTGTGAAAAAGCTGTCTATTTCAGACTACCAGAGTTTATATCCATCTCTCCACTCATCATTTGCTGCCACCATCATGTCACGGGGGCGTTTTCTATATGTTGCTGTCAGATAACAAATTTTTCAGTTGCCTTTTTTGCACCATATCTACAGGCACATGATGATGATATAAAACAGTAAATCTACATTTGTCTTGATATTTGTTATCTATTTAATTTTGTGCAAACAATATCAGATAGGATAAGTGATACTGACCAGTTGTGAAGCTGTGACATTTTTTGGGTCTGAATTATTGTCAGACAAAGGATTTTTCAGTTGCCTTTTTTGCACCATATCTACAGCCACATGATGATGATATAAAACAGTAAATCTACATTTGTTTTGATATTTGTTATCTATTTAATTTTGTGCAAACAATATCAGATAGGATAAGTGATACTGACCAGTTGTGAAGCTGTGACATTTTTTGGGAGTCTGAATTATTGTCAGACAAAGGATTTTTCAGTTGACTTTTTTGCACCATATCTACAGCCACATGATGATGATATAAAACAGTAAATCTACATTTGTCTTGATATTTGTTATCTATTTAATTATGTGCAAACAATATCAGATAGGATAAGTGATATTGAACAGTTGTGAAGCTGTGACATTTTTTGGGAGTCTGAATTATTGTCAGATAAAGGATTTTTCAGTCGCCTTTTTTGCAACAATCTACAGCCACATGATGATGATGATTGTGGCAGACAAAGTAAACCCCATTTTTTGTCTTCACATGTGTTCTCGGTTCAATTTTGTGCAAAAATACAAAATATTATATATGTTTGTTGAAAATTTTTGAAAAAAAATCATCACTATCAGTCTTTATTGTTGTCAGATAAATGATTTTCAGTTGCATTTTTTGCAACAATCTACAACCACATGATGATGATGACTATGTCAGAGTAAACCTTATTGTTTTTTTCTTTAAATGTGTTCTTGGTTTAATTTTGTGCAAAAATACAAAATATTATACATTTTTGTTAAATATTTTTTGAAAATAAGACATTTTTTTTGTCTTTATTGTTGTCAGATAAAAGATTTTCCGGTTGCCTTTTTTGCACCAATCTACAGCCACATGATGATGATGCAAAACAAAATAAACAACTTTTTTTTCTTGAAATCTGTTCTTCATTCAGTTTGGTGCAAAAATACAAAATATTGTGAGATTATATCAAATAGCTGTGAAGCTATGGCATTTTTAGTAAACACTAAAATACGTGGTATCTGGGGAAATGCAAGGGTTAATGGGCTTGGTAGTCAGTGGGTTAAAGCAGAACAAATTGCAAGAAGAAATGGGTTTATTTAATTTTTTGACATCGTTATCATCTGGCTGTAGTTATAGTGAAAAAAAAAAGCATCTGAACAATCTATCTGTCAGCAATACAGACTAAATTTTATGACATATAAAACATGAAACTGTATTGTTTTATCAACATATAAAATGGTGTGCAAGTCAATGTCAGTGCAGTTTAAAAAGAAAAAGAGAAAGAAATATTTACCACTCTCATTGATCACATTTGACAGCCAAGATGTGTCAATAGTACGGTACAGTTCATAAGTTCCTTGTGTATCCTTTGCAGGACGTTGCAGAACCAACCCCAGCATTTTTTGGCTGTTGTGGTTTTTCTAGGCAAAATTTAAGTTCAGTAGTTTGCCATTGTTTTCAGAACGGTCAGCTCTCGGTACCACTGTCAAAACCAACGCAAGACAAATTGCCCATAGCAAGGATCGAACCCGGCACCCTGGCATTACGAAGCGTGTTGCGCAACGCCTAAACTATAGACAGTGGCACCTGACATTCCCTTCACTAGTAACTTGTCATGGTCCCTTTGCTGCCCTTTTTATTTCTGGATTCTTGCATTTAGTTTCTTCCACACACACTGTGCACTTTCTTCTGTAAACTGTGGTACTTCAGGACAGCCTTGCACATCACACTGTGCACTTTCTTCTGTAAACTGTGGTACTTCAGGACAGCCTTGTACATCACACTGTGCACTTTCTTCTGTAAACTGGGGTACTTCAGTACAGCCTTGCACATCACACTGTGCACTTTCTTCTGTAAACTGGGGTACTTCAGTACAGCCTTGCACATCACACTGTGCACTTTCTTCTGTAAACTGGGGTACTTCAGTACAGCCTTGCACATCACAGTGTGCACTTTCTTCTGTTAACTGGGGTACTTCAGGACAGCCTTGCACATCACACTGTGCCAGTCATCAACCAGTGGGGGGTGTGGCAAATCTTCCTCAAATGTCAGATGAGTATGATGATTCTGCATCAAAAGCTAGAACTGTCAGTATCAGAAACTACTGCACTAGTGTTTGCTACCAAAAGTGTAACTGCCGGTCGAGTCTTAGTCTTAGTTAGACTTGACTTTGCCGATGTTTCACTGTCAATGTTTCACTGTCGATGTTTCTATGTCGATGTTTCACTGTCGATGTTTCACTGTCGATGTTTCACTGTCGATGTTTCACTGTCGATGTTTCACTGTCGATGTTTCACTGTGGATGTTTCACTGTCGATGTTTCACTGTCGATGTTTCACTGTGGATGTTTCACTGTCGATGTTTCACTGTGGATGTTTCACTGTCGATGTTTCACTGTCGATGTTTCACTGTGGATGTTTCACTGTCGATGTTTCACTGTCGATGTTTCACTGTCGATGTTTCACTGTCGATGATGTTTTCCGTGGCACTTCCATAGATGGACCCATCATGACCAGAGTCATCAGACTGTTCAATATTATCTTCACCTTCAATTTCCACAGAATTCAAATTAGGAAAATCACAGCAGCAACAGAAAAACAATAGAAATGACCACCCAGGTCGCTTCGAGAATTTGTTGCCATGACAATATGTTTCGTAAACAGTCACCGACTTGGGTGCTAACGCCGAATATTCATCAGATATTTCATATACACGCTACGAAGTTGTTTCCCCTAATTAAAATAGAGATATGAACAGGCTATAGGCGTCAACCAAATTTATCGCAAAAATTACGATTTCAACATGGCGGCGAGTGTCTAAAGCTATCATCCTAATGGGTGCGACGCGGACAGAAAGAAGTACATTTCACCTCGTCGTATAATGTGTGACATGGGCAGTTAGTGGGTTCAGATCCAATTTTACATTGACTCTGAGGTTGGCCCAACCTAAAATTTATACCAGGAAACACTCTGTGAAACAAAGTTTCATCAGTTGGCATGGCATTAACTGCATCACCCACCGACTGCTGAGTTGTCAGTAAAAATATTAACTATCACCATATACCTTTGATTTCCTATTTAGTGCACATACAAAAATAACCACATATTCCATTCCCAGAGCCCAGTTTTGGTTGAAAACAAAAAAATAATAGACTGCCTAAATTGGATGTGCTGGGCTCAAAGGCGCATATAACACAGCCTTGCTGTAAACTACATCACGATGTGCCAACCACGGTATAGAGGGCCATGCAGGAGAGTTTGAAGAAACTACATCACAATGTCCCAACCTTGGTATAGAGGGCCATGCAAAAGAGTTTGAAAAAAAGATTATGTAAAAAATTTTAGTAGCACTAAAATGTGACTAGCAGTACTAAAATGTGACTGTATTTTGGCTAAAAGTGGATTTGCAAGCTGATTAATGTAAAAAGGGCAAATTCTACTACTGGTTTACACATAAAATTATGTCTATTAGGTCTAGAGAGGTCTTCTGATGATAAAGATGATGATGATGAACAAAGTCCTAGCATTAACACACATGGCAGGGATCAGAAAGGTTGGTCTTTAACAAAGTCACTAGTTGATTGCATGTTTTCAGTGTTCTTGGATGAACAGCTTGAGACAGGTAAAGGATGTGTAAATCACCGTTTATCACTGGCATTTTATGTTTTAACTCTTTTCTCTTTGATGACACAGGTAAAAAGGATAATTTTGAAAAGTGAAGGATGTGCCTATAGGAGAGGAACTGTCCACAAATTTAGGAAAAGAGCAAACTATAGAGTCTGCACAATGCTCATCAAAGAATGTGAGGAGGGCACAGTGAGAGGGCACAGTGAGAGGGCACAGTGAGAGAGGGCACAGTGAGAGGGCACAGTGTGAGGGCACAGTGTGAGAGGGCACAACTGGAACAATAATGCAGCTGGTAGAGGATTTCATCATCATCATAATCATTAGTGTCCTTACCGACTGGAGTGGGCAGTCACTGGGAGGCTATCCCTCAGGTGGGTGATGGATATTGTGCTTGGAGAAAGTGCAGCAGTGTGAGAAATTATGATGGTACTTCACAGAGAGAAAAGATCTATACAAATAAATCTCAAAATCTCTCCCAAAAGCCACCAGTAATTACAGATAATTACATTGATGAGAGAAGTCAAAGGTGCTCGACTGGATTTCATCCATGATAATTGATACAATTGCACAAGACAAAACGGAATGGAAGAATAAACTGTAAACTCTGCGTGATGTTTAACAGGATAATGATGATGAGGATAAATTGCAAATAATGGTTGAGAACAGAGCTTCTGAAGTGACTACCTAACTAATTAGTTATGGATCATTAACAGGTATATTTCTTTTACCGTTTTATTCCTACTGTTCGTATGTATTATGGGTCCAATTCTCATCAGTGTAAGGATTTAGCACACACAAATGATCCGTGCTCTCATGGCTCTGATGGGTACCAGGAAATATTCTGGGAGATTTAGCACACACACACAAATGATCCGTGCTCTCATGGCTCTGATGGGTACCAGGAAATATTCTGGGAGATTTAGCACACACACACAAATGATCCGTGCTCTCATGGCTCTGATGGGTACCAGGAAATATTCTGGGAGAGTTAGCACACACACACAAATGATCCGTGCTCTCATGGCTCTGATAGGTACCAGGAAATATTCTGGGAGGTCAAGGGCTGGTTTGATATTGACCGCACTACCCATGTGCCAGTTTGCTTGACAAAATATGGGGCTACATCCGTCTGTCTGCTACATCCGTCTGCCTGCTACATCCGTCTGCCTGCTACATCCGTCTGCCTGGTACATCCGTCAGTCTGCTACATCCATCTGTCTGCTACATCTGTCTGCCTGCTACATCTGTCTGCCTGCTACATCTGTCTGCCTGCTACATCTGTCTGTCTGCTACATCTGTCTGCCTGCTACATCCTTCTGTCTGCTACATCCTTCTGCCTGCTACATCCATCTGCCTGCTACATCCTTCTGCCTGCTACATCCCTCTGCCTGCTACAACCGTCTGCCTGCTACATCCATCTGCCTGCTACATCTGTCTGCCTGCTACATCTGTCTGTCTGCTACATCTGTCTGCCTGCTACATCCTTCTGTCTGCTACATCCTTCTGCCTGCTACATCCATCTGCCTGCTACATCCGTCTGCCTGCTACATCCGTCTGCCTGCTACATCCGTCTGCCTGCTACATCCGTCTGCCTGCTACATCCGTCTGCCTGCTACATCCGTCTGCCTGCTACATTTTGAGGTATGGAAAAGAGTCCTTTACTTTACTTGCTTTACTGAAATGGCTAGGCTAATGGCTAGTGACTTGCCTGCATGCCTGAGGGTCTTTGGTTCAAATCTGCATTTATTCAGATTTTGTTTTTCTTTATTACGTCGGCTTCCATATTGATCCAGCCTAAAATGGTTACCAGGTAAAGTGCTGGAAAGTAGAGGCAGCTAGTTTGATGTTGAAAAGGTCACTCGTCAGCCTAAAATGGTTACCAGGTAAAGTGCTGGAAAGTAGATGTAGCTGGTTTGATGTTGAAAACCTCACTTGTCAGCCTAAAATGGTTACCAGGTAAAGTGCTGGAAAGTAGAGGTAGCTGGTTTGATGTTGAAAACCTCACTTGTCAGCCTAAAATGGTTACCAGGTAAAGTGCTGGAAAGTAGAGGCAGCTGGTTTGATGTTGAAAACGTCACTCCTCAACTGTTGATTAGTCTATACATGTCAGGCATGACAAGCCGGAGGTGAAAAGTTTTTGTTTACTCACTTTACAATAATAGTTATAAATCCAGTTCTGGTAAATGTTTACTCACTTTACAATAATAGTTATAAATCCAGTTCTGGTAAATGTTTACTCACTTTACAATAATAGTTATAAATCCAGTTCTGGTAAATGTTTACTCACTTTACAATAATAGTTATAAATCCAGTTCTGGTAAATGTTTTACTCACTTTACAATAATAGTTATAAATCCAGTTCTGGTAAATGTTTACTCACTTTACAATAATAGTTATAAATCCAGTTCTGGTAAATGTTTACTCACTTTACAATAATAGTTATAAATCCAGTTCTGGTAAAATGTTTACTCACTTTACAATAATAGTTATAAATCCAGTTCTGGTAAATGTTTACTCACTTTACAATAATAGTTATAAATCCAGTTCTGGTAAATGTTTACTCACTTTACAATAATAGTTATAAATCCAGTTCTGGTAAATGTTTACTCACTTTACAATAATAGTTATAAATCCAGTTCTGGTAAATGTTTACTCACTTTACAATAATAGTTATAAATCCAGTTCTGGTAAATGTTTACTCACTTTACAATAATAGTTATAAATCCAGTTCTGGTAAATGTTTACTCACTTTACAATAATAGTTATAAATCCAGTTCTGGTAAATGTTTACTCACTTTACAATAATAGTTATAAATCCAGTTCTGGTAAATGTTTACTCACTTTACAATAATAGTTATAAATCCAGTTCTGGTAAATGTTTACTCACTTTACAATAATAGTTATAAATCCAGTTCTGGTAAATGTTTACTCACTTTACAATAATAGTTATAAATCCAGTTCTGGTAAATGTTTACTCACTTTACAATAATAGTTATAAATCCAGTTCTGGTAAATGTTTACTCACTTTACAATAATAGTTATAAATCCAGTTCTGGTAAATGTTTACTCACTTTACAATAATAGTTATAAATCCAGTTCTGGTAAATGTTTACTTACTTTACAATAATAGTTATAAATCCAGTTCTGGTAAATGTTTACTCACTTTACAATAATAGTTATAAATCCAGTTCTGGTAAATGTTTACTCACTTTACAATAATAGTTATAAATCCAGTTCTGGTAAATGTTTACTCACTTTACAATAATAGTTATAAATCCAGTTCTGGTAAATAATGTTTACAGCACCTCTGTTGTCTGACGTTCCAAATTATGGCAGTGCCAGCTCAGATGAAGAGAGCAGTCCTTACCAAGTGGGCAGATCTATCAATCCTGAAGATGGTGTCAGTTATGAAATACAAGCTACCAGACCAGCTTCCATATCATTCTGGAGTGCTTGTCTCCTGCCAGGAGTGATTCCAGTATGTTTCCTGTATGGTTATAGTTGTCTTTGTCCTTGTCATCAAAAAGAGCTGCTGCAATAGAGAATAGCTTGTTCCCTTACTTAATTGTCCTAAGTATATGCAGTGTTTCTCAAATATTTCGACTCGTAGATATTCTTTGAGAATGAATTTCTTTGGCGGAGCCCTAATAGGTCCACCATACCCCATTTCTAACAATTGAATGCTGTTTTGAAGTAATGTTAAGGAGTCGAGGAAGAGGAAGTAAACAGTACAGGAATTTCAAGTAAAGAGAAATCTAATCAACTGCACAATGTCCATGCAATGAAATTGTATACTGCTAAAACTTTGAAATAGTCAGTATGAGAATAAGCAACTTTCAAAACCCAGAATACAAAGTAAAACAAAACAGGTTTCTTGAAAAAATAAAAGGAAGCCCTGTTGTCATTTAAAAGTGAGCCTTTTCATTTCAATAGTGAACCTTCCATCTATCCATTCATTCTTTTTTCATTCATCTACGAATCCAATCATGTGTCTTTATTTACTTACATGACATAACTACAGTGGAAGTTTTTACCTTATTAACCTTTCTTAAGACCTCAGTCCAAGGAACTTTGTTTCTGCCTTGTCCTCAGTCCAAGGAACTTTGCTTCTGCCTTCTCCTCATTAACAGTGGAGTCAGGCAGGGATGTGTACTTGTTTCTATACTCCTTGGAATGTACTTCTTACTTTTTTTTAAAATATGCCTTTTGTGATCGGGAGTGTGGTATATTTATCCATTTTCGATCTGATGGCAGCCACTTCAATGCTCATATGCTGAAAGCTTAAACCAGGAAATCAGAGAGCTGCTGTTTGCAGACGTATAGTTATTTTTGCACACTCAGGTTAGGGGTTGCAATGTTTACTGTCTGTATTAGCTGATGAATGCTGTGATTTTGGACTAACAGTCAGCAAAAAAGAAGACAAAGATTCTGGTGCAAGGTGTTAATGATAGTCCTGCAGTCTAGGTTAATGGTGGAAAGCTGGAGAAAGTGACCATTTGACATATCTGGGATCCACAGTAAGTAAAATTATCGCTACACCCAAAAATCAACATCTGGATAGGTAAGACAGCAACAACAGTGAGCAGATTAACAAACAATGGTGGGAGAACAGAAAGCTCATGATTAAAACAAAAACTCTTGTCTATCAGGCTTGTATTCTCAGCACTCTTCTTTATAGCAGTGAAACTGAGTCAACTTATTCACTCAAGAGACAGGACTAAATAGCTTTCACATGCAAAGCCTAAAAAAGACTAATTTGCCATAAAGTGGCAAGACAAGATGACAAACACTGAAGTATTGGAAAAAGCAGATGTTAAACAGTGCTCAGTCTCCAAAGGCTCAGGTAGCTAGTCACACCGGAGAACAATTTGAGGCTGGCTTCTGTTATGATATTAAGATGTGTGCAAGTGGGAGATGAATGAATGATACAGGTATTGAGGTGGATTCTTGAGAATAAAATGCCATTGATTGTGTTGCGCAGAGGTTCCAAATCAGGAAGGGAATGAAATGAAGGAAGAAATGATTGGAGAAAGGATGAGCGCTAAGTGTCTGAGAGGAAACACACTAAGATGGCAACAATGGTGCTGAAATCCCATGCTCCAGAAGATGAACTGGTCTTGCTAGTTATACTCGTCATCACCATAGGCCGTGAGTCCTAAGCTTCCTTATAAGAAAGTATAACAGTGTTGTCTGGAAAGATAAAGAGGTGCCAGCAACCCCCCCCCCCCCCTTTCCCCACTTTTTGGGTGAAAAGTTCTGCTAGTGTTAAAGTCATTGAATGGGCCAACATTGTCATTCTTGTTTTATTAAAGTGTTTTTATATCTTTTATTTTTTTCAGTATTCATTAGCATATGCCTTTTTGAAGCTTGTCAACTACTCATTCTTTTTTTGGCTGCCATTTTATCTGAGCAATGCTTTCCATTGGTCTGAAAGTTTTGCAGACAAACTGTCGACACTCTATGATGTTGCTGGCATTGTGGGTAAGTAGGGAAATTGTCTGAAATTCTTATGCAGTTAATTGTGGTGATTGTAATAGCTTTCTTACTTACTTAGTCGCTCCTCCTCTACTTTGGGGTGTAGAGGTTTGCCAGAAACATCGCCAGACGTCTCTATCATCAGATTTGATTGTAATAGCACTGCTAAAAGTTTCACTAAAGCCAATTAGTAAAAAACTCTGTAGAAGCTGCAGAGATGTAGTTTTATAGAAGAATGGCCAGGACACTGATTAGAGAAAACATGTGTCGAAGTGTGGTAACATTGGTTCGTTTAAAGAATGATAAGAACATTCCTTGAAGTATGTAAACAAGTGGGCTCTACTAACATGGCGGCCGTAATATGATGCCACATTCTGACCATAAAATATCCAAAAATATCCGAACGGTGTTCAGGTGTATCTAAAATACCAAGGGACAAATCGCGGTAAAACTAGGATTACTTGACAATCAATATCAACATTGCACACAGTAGTAGCAAACGATAAATACTGACCGTTGACAATTTCGAGCATTTCTGCAGACGACGATAACAGCAGATGATATTAGCGACCGTTGACCAATTTTGAGACATTACAGACGATGAAAGCCGATTAGCAATACTGTGTTCTTATTTAGGATTTAGCAGCGGTAGATGTCAGACTTGTCGGCATGCGCCAAACGCGATTAAACTCATCGCGGGGTGGGGGGGGGGGGGGGGGGGGGGGCTAAACTAGGTGCCTGGGACTCATGAGTAAAGTAACTGGAGGAAGTTGCAGGAGATGCAGTAGCCTCTGCTTGTGAGTCCCAGCCATCTAGTTTAGTCCCCATCCGCGCCGCGCGTAGAAGCAGGTCCGCAAGTAACATATCGCCGAGACCCTGTTGGAGCATTTGTTTCGTTATACGGAGCCGGCACATATATTTTTAATAGAACTGAGCTGCATTCGGATATTTTTGGATATTTTATGGCCAGAATGCGGCCAATTTAGCTCTCTTTCGAACGGCATCATATTACAGCCGCCATTTTAGGGCGCCGTTCAAAGTAGAGCCGAAAAGTAGTTTTATAGAAGAATGGTGTGTAGGCCATGGGCAAATAAAAAGCTTACTAAATGATATCTAGAAACCAGCTAACTTACTAAGACAATTGATTTCCCATGGCAAGAAAAAAACAGTCTGTATTTTTGGACCAAAATTTAAAGAAAAATATAACTTTGTTCTTTTTACGCAAAACATCCTGCTGAGACCGTCAGAAGCCTTATGCTTTTTTCCATCGGGGGAGCTCCGAAATTACTTTCAACTGACCATGTTTAATCACCTGAAGCTTAAAACTCGTGGTGTACGAATGCTGTTTACATAGCGGATTGTCATCACGTAGACAAACTTGTCAACTATCGGCAAAGTACCATTATATGCTTAAGTCTAATTTGCAGATGTAACAACATACTAGCCCAAAATATTGCCTGATGCAATAAGCAACACAAAGAAATAGCGATGCACTAAGCATTTAAGGACTCACAACCAATCAGCTTTCAGAATAATGTGATGATCTCATCTCTCTCTCTCACTCTGTCAGGAACGTTGCCAGTAAAAACAGCACTTGAGCATAGCTCATTCTGGCTACAGCCTGGTATTAGTAAGATGACCAAAAATATTAGAAGAATCAAGTTGATACTCTTGACTTTAATTAGGAGGCTGAGTGGTCTCGAGGTATGGTGTCCGCCTCGAGTGTTGAGGTCCCGGCTCAGGTCGTGGTAAAGGTTGGGATTGTTCCACATGGACTTCTAGTTATTTCCCCTGGTCTCTGGATAGTCAGATCGGACACTCAGTGTATTCTTGGGCATGTAAAAATTAATCCCATGGCAGTTGGAAATTAACAAGAGTAGCCTAACGGTGCTGCCTGGGCAAAATTTGGAGTCAAAAATCTACCTGAATTATTTGAGGATCCTTGGGGTTGCCATCATGTTCTACCTGAATTATTTGAGGATCCTTGGGGTTGCCATCATATGTTCTAGCTGAATTATTTGAGGATCCTTGGGGTTGCCATCATATGTTCTAGCTGAATTATTTGAGTGATCCTTGGGGTTGCCATCATATGCCTTGTACCTGAATTATTTGAGGATCCTTGGGGTTGCCATCATATGTTCTACCTGAATTATTTGAGGATCCTTGGGGTTGCCATCATATGTTCTACCTGAATTATTTGAGGATCCTTGGGGTTGCCATCATATGTTTTACCTGAATTATTTGAGGATCCTTGGGGTTGCCATCATATGTTCTACCTGAATTATTTGAGGATCCTTGGGGTTGCCATCATATGCCTTGTACCTGAATTATTTGAGGATCCTTGGGGTTGCCATCATATGTTCTAGCTGAATTATTTGAGGATCCTTGGGGTTGCCATCATATGTTCTACCTGAATTATTTAAGGATCCTTGGGGTTGCCATCATAAGCCTTGTACCTGAATTATTTGAGGATCCTTGGGGTTGCCATCATATGTTCTACCTGAATTATTTGAGGATCCTTGGGGTTGCCATCATATTTTCTACCTGAATTATTTGAGGATCCTTGGGGTTGCCATCATATGTTCTAGCTGAATTATTTGAGAATCCTTGGGGTTGCCATCATATGTTCTACCTGAATTATTTGAGGATCCTTGGGGTTGCCATCATATGTTATACCTGAATTATTTGAGGATCCTTGGGGTTGCCATCATATGTTCTAGCTGAATTATTTGAGGATCCTTGGGGTTGCCATCATATGTTCTACCTGAATTATTTGAGGATCCTTGGGATTGCCATCATATGTTCTACCTGAATTATTTGAGGATCCTTGGGGTTGCCATCATATGTTCTACCTGAATTATTTGAGGATCATTGGGGTTGCCATCATATGTTCTACCTGAATTATTTGAGGATCCTTGGGGTTGCCATCATATGCCTTGTACCTGAATTATTTGAGGATCCTTGGGGTTGCCATCATATGTTCTACCTAAATTATTTGAGGATCCTTGGGGTTGCCATCATATGCCTTGTACCCTGTAAGGTGTGAGGATCATATTTGTTTACTTACCTTTTTTCTGTTTTAACAAAAGAACTTGATTTATTATTAGAATTTTTCTTTTTACACAGGTGGAACTATTGCAGGATTTATTTCAGTAAGTAATACATGTTTTGTTATGTGATCCTGTGATTGATGTGACCATTCTAACCTGTGATTCTGGTAATCTGGTAATCTGGTAATCCTAGTTTCAGCTTCATAGCAAACGGGTCACCCCACACATGCTCCGCTCCTGTGCCAACGAAAAACAAACGCAGCTCACAGTGTCACGCCATGCACTCAACTCAGAAGCTGGGCGACGAAACTACATCCTTCCAGTCTACAAATGGAGCAAAAATGCAACGGCCACCGTCTGGAAAAATATTTGCCACGGCTTAAAAAAAAAAAAAAAAAAAAAGGTGGTCGTACCTAGCGTCCATTTTGACCGGAAGAATTATATGAGGGTTAATAAACGGTCACCCCAGCAGTACCCTCATTATTAGCTGGGGAAGGGACTTAGGACATTACATCCATCAGCAGGCGTCGCCCCTACAACGACCTGCCTGCCCTCGTTAACGACTGTTCACCCAACAGCCATGCAGTTCTTTGGCACGAAGGAGACACCTTGAACTTGGGTTTCGTACTGCCGACTCCCTACTAAGATGTTATTTTATGTTCTGTTATCACAATTAATGTCACTGCACATTGGGCATACCCATGCGTGCTCAGTTCTCCGAAGCAGCAGCCACTCTAAAGTACTTCTACTAATTGTCCCCATGAGAAGCTGGTTATATTGTCTCCTTTCTCGGCCTCGAAGACGGCAAAGACGTGCATCACCATGCTTAACTCCCATGTCACGCAATCGTGTTAGTGTCAGGGATTCCTCATTCTCCACTAGCCCGGTTCGTACAGCGTTGGCTATGTCTGCTCTGTCCATACTTTTTCCTGCAATCATTAGTGCAGTGCTTGCCAGTTGGTCTGCTCGCTCATTTCCCTTCACGCCCGCATGACCCGGTGTGTAGATCCAGGTTACGGAGGTTAAGTGCGATTTCCTGATGCTTTCTATCCATTCAGAGCGCATACTGCCTGTTGCTATCTTCTGAAGCATATTCATTGAGTCTGAGACAATTACTACCTGTGTGGCGGTTTGCTCGGATACCCATGCTAAAGCTCTAGAAGCAGCGGCTATTTCCATTGTCATGCTTGACGTGGTTGTCTGGTAAGCGCCGCTGTCCTCATGTATTGTTTTCCCCTTTCTTTGCGCTGTGTATGCCCATGCTGACCTTGATCCGCGCTTCACAGATCAATCTGTGTAGATGATGGTATCTTCTGGGTCTGAATGCTGATCTATCAGTTCCCTTACTTCTGTGTCTACCGCCGCAGGAATTTGATCCCTGCAGTACCTTCCGAGTGTGATGACAACCTTAGAGATGCCATGCATGTCTACTGGTGTATTCGTCCATTCTTTTCCGTGGCTGATCACGTCTAGGTCACATACCTGCTGGATTAAGTCCTCAGCCTTTGCCATCCAAGAGCGGCCCCTTTTGAGACGCGTTCCTTTTGTGTCGTGAATAGCTTTGTGTAATGGGTGGTTAACATCTGCCGATACCCTCATGTAAGCCTTGACCTGTGCCACTTTGTATCTGCTTGTCATAGTCGGCAGACCCAGGATATAACGCATGGCGTTGCAGGAGGTGTCTTTTGTGCAGCCGAGTATGAGTCTCATGGCCTCATTCTGTACTCGGTCCAGTCTTTCTAGCTGGGTTTTGCTGACAGTTAGGAGGCCGAGACCATAGTCAATGACGCTAAGCACAAGCCCTTGATAGAGAAGGAAAAGTAGACGTTGTTCAATATCAGCTGCTGCTAGCACCTTGAGTGCTGTCAAACCTTTCCTGGCTCTAAGTATGACGTTGTCTACGTGGCATTTGTATGACAAGCATCTGTCAAATGTCATGCCCAGGTATTTCATGGTGTCCGTTCTCTCGATGTCCACACCACAGATGCTTACGACTGGCGTTGGTGTACTCACGATGTGGGTATTCAGAGAGAACCATGTTAAGGAGGCTTTGGACGGGTTCACATGAGCTCTTGATTCCTGGCACCACTCACTAAGTCTGTCTAGTTCGTGTTGTAGTGTGGTTGTAATTTCCTGCCTGTTTTTACCTCGACGGTAAACAAGGATATCATCTGCATACGACATTGTTCTGCCTAGGCCTACGCGTTGTGCACTAGTGACTCCTGCTGTGTACACATTGAAGAGCACAGGCGACAATGGTGATCCCTGGGGCAGACCCATTAGGACGCGTTGAGGTTCGGATGCCCATTCACCACATCGAAGCGACACTGTTCTTTCAAATAGCGCTGCTGCGATCCAGTTGACCAAATTTGTTTCTATCTGCATATCCAACAGCAGTCTGATGAGCATGTTGTATGGGACGCTGTTGTACGCATCTTCTAAGTCAATAGCGGCTGCAGCCGTTTCTATTCCCTCCTGGAAACCTTCGTATGTGTCGTAGGCAAATACTGCAGCATTGCACCATGTATCTCTTCCTGGTCGGTAGCCACCTAGTGTAACCTGTGATTGGTGTGACCATGTGAACCTTTGATTGATGTGACCATTCTAATCTGTGATTGACGTGACCATTCTAATCTGTGATTGATGTGACCATTCTAATCTGTGATTGATGTGACCATTCTAATCTGTGATTGATGTGACCATTCTAATCTGTGATTGATGTGACCATTCTAATCTGTGATTGATGTGACTATGTGAACCTGTGATTGATGTGACATTCTAATCTGTGATTGATGTGACCATTCTATTCTATGATTGATGTGACCACATAAGCCTGTGGTTATTCTGACTATGTGAACCTGTGATTGATGTGATCATTATAATAAGTTATTGATGTGACCACATGAACCTGTGATTGATGTGATCATTATAATAAGTTATTGATGTGACCACATGAACCTGTGATTGATGTGATCATTATAATAAGTTATTGATGTGACCACATGAACCTGTGATTGTTGTGACCATGTAAACCTGTAATTGATGTGACCATTCTATTCTATGATTGATGTGACCTCATGAATATGTTATTGGTGTGATTATGTGAACCTATTGATGTGTCTGTTCTAATCTGTGATTGATGTGACCACATGAACCTGTTATTGGCATGACCCTGTGAACCTGTGATTGATGGGGCTATTGATCTGTGATTGATGTGAACCTGTGATTGGTATGAACCTGTGATTGGTGTGACCACATGAACCTGTGATTGATGGGACCATTTTAATCTGTGATTGAGGTGAACCTATAATTAATGTGAACCTGAGATTAATGTGAACCTGTGGTTGGCATGACCCTGTGAACCTGTGATTGGTGTGACCATGTAAACCTGTCATTGGTGTGAAAATGTGAACCTGTGATTAAAATTTTTAATCTGTGATTAATGTGAACCTGTGATTGGTGTGACCATGGGAACCTGTGATTGGTGTGAACCTGTGATTAGTGTGACCAAGTGAACCTGTGATTAGTGTGAACCTGTGATTGGTGTGACCACATGAACCTTTGATTGGTGTGACCATGTGAAACTATGATTGGTGTGAACCTGTGATTGATGTGACCATGTGAACCTGTGATTGGTGTGACCATGTGAACCTGTGATTGATGTGATCATTATAATAAGTTATTGATGTGACCACATGAACCTGTGATTGATGTGATCATTATAATAAGTTATTGATGTGACCACATGAACCTGTGATTGTTGTGACCATGTAAACCTGTAATTGATGTGACCATTCTATTCTATGATTGATGTGACCTCATGAATATGTTATTGGTGTGATTATGTGAACCTATTGATGTGTCTGTTCTAATCTGTGATTGATGTGACCACATGAACCTGTTATTGGCATGACCCTGTGAACCTGTGATTGATGGGGCTATTGATCTGTGATTGATGTGAACCTGTGATTGGTATGAACCTGTGATTGGTGTGACCACATGAACCTGTGATTGATGGGACCATTTTAATCTGTGATTGAGGTGAACCTATAATTAATGTGAACCTGAGATTAATGTGAACCTGTGGTTGGCATGACCCTGTGAACCTGTGATTGGTGTGACCATGTAAACCTGTCATTGGTGTGAAAATGTGAACCTGTAATTAAAATTTTTAATCTGTGATTAATGTGAACCTGTGATTGGTGTGACCATGGGAACCTGTGATTGGTGTGAACCTGTGATTAGTGTGACCAAGTGAACCTGTGATTAGTGTGAACCTGTGATTGGTGTGACCACATGAACCTTTGATTGGTGTGACCATGTGAAACTATGATTGGTGTGAACCTGTGATTGATGTGACCATGTGAACCTGTGATTGGTGTGACCATGTGAACCTGTGATTGATGTGACCATGTGAACCTGTGATTGGCTCTGATTGGTGTGAACCTGTGATTGTCATGACTCTTTGAACCTGTGATTGGTGTGAACCTGTGATTGGTGTGACCATATGAACCTGTGATTGGTGTGACCATGTGAACCTGTGATTGATGTGACCATGTGAACCTGTGATTGGTGTGACCATATGAACCTGTGATTGGTGTGACCATGTGAACCTGTGATTGGTGTGACCATGTGAACCTATGATTGGTGTGACTATGTGAACCTGTGATTGGTGTGACCATGTGAACCTGTGATTGGTGTGACCATGTAAACCTGTGATTGGTGTGACCATGTAAACCTGTGGTTTGTGTGACCACTTGAAAATAAGGTAACCTCCTAGCTAATGTTTCACATGCCATAGACTACTCAAATGTACATGACTGACAACTGAGCTGTCTGGCACCCGCCTACAATGCAGCATTGAAGTGGTCAACACACACTAGAGGCAGTCAGACTATGGAAATAACACAGAGAAACTGGACAGGCTGAGAGGGTTTATGGCCACCAAGAGGTTCATAGAAGGAAAAGTGGGATAGTCCAAATAAAATCTGCTGAACTGTTTCAGTCCCAAGCAAGTATTTCTTCAACACCTGACTGAAGAATTATTGCCTAAAATAATAATGGCATGGGTCTAAAAAATGATTAAGATAATACCATTAATGCACTAAAAAATGATTAAGATAATACCATTATGGCACTAAAAAATGATTAAGATAATACCATTTTGGCACTAAAAATGATTAAGATAATACCATTATGGCACTAAAAATGATTAAGATAATACCATTATGGCACTAAAAAATGATTAAGATAATACCATTATGGCACTAAAAATGATTAAGATAATACCATTATGGCACTAAAAAATGATTAAGATAATACCATTATGGCACTAAAAAATGATTAAGATAATACCATTATGGCACTAAAAAAAAGTTACAAATTAGGAAGTTAATATTGCAGCAAGCTAGGGCACACGCGGTTGATAAAAAAAATATACCATGTAGGAAGCGGGAATAAAAACAAGCTGATCTGTTTGGTACTAAATGAGTTAAGACCATGTGGAAACATAGCCCGACTAAAAGTTGAAGCTGTTTTCCAAAGATTTAAGAACTCTTTAGTGGCATGATGATTTAATGATTGTGACATCTACATAAAATAGTCCCCAATATCCCAATCCATTGAATTGTATAAATACCACTTCCTTTGTAGACTGAACTGATTTCTTGCAGGATCGTGTTGGTAAGAGGACTGTTTTAATTGTACCCATGCTGTTGGTGTCAATCCCTTCACTTCTTATTTACAGCAGTGAGTACATTTCTTCTTTAGTTTTTATTGTTTATTGTTTTTCTGAGATTCATTAATGATGAAACCTAATTTACACACAAAAATATAAATACAGTTGAATATTTAATACTTCATTTCAGTAATACAACATGGCATAAACATAAATACACACCACACACCATTGCATAAAAATTAATACACACCACACACCATGGCATAAACATAAATACACACCACACACCATGGCATAAACATAAATACACACCATGGCATAAACATAAATACACACCATGGCATAAACATAAATACACACCACACACCATGGCATAAACATAAATACACACCACACACCATGGCATAAACATAAATACACACCATGGCATAAACATAAATACACACCATAGCATAAACATAAATACACACCACACACCATGACATAAACATAAATACACACCACACACCATGGCATAAACATAAATACACACCACACACCATGGCAAAAACATACATACACACCACACACCATGGCATAAACATAAATACACACCACACACCATGGCATAAACATAAATACACACCATGGCAAAAACATAAATACACACAATGGCATAAACATAAATACACACCACACACCATGGCATAAACATAAATACACACCACACACCATGGCATAAACATAAATACACACCACACACCATGACATAAACATAAATACACACCACACACCATGACATAAACATAAATACACACCACACACCATGACATAAACATAAATACACACCTTCTGCTTGTCATCTTCTAGTGGAGATGATCTCCTTCTGCTTGTCATCTTCTAGTGGAGACGTGTCTCCTTCTGCTTGTCATCTTCTAGTGGTGATGTGTCTCCTTCTGCTTGTCATCTTCTAGTGGAGATGTGTCTCCTTCTGCTTGTCATCTTCTAGTGGAGATGTCTCCTTTTGCTTGTCATCTTCTAGTGGAGACGTGTCTCCTTCTGCTTGTCATCTTCTAGTGGTGATGTGTCTTCTTCTGCTTGTCATCTTCTAGTGGAGATGTGTCTTCTTCTGCTTGTCATCTTCTAGTGGAGATGTCTCCTTTTGCTTGTCATCTTCTAGTGGAGACGTGTCTCCTTCTGCTTGTCATCTTCTAGTGGAGATGTGTCTCCTTCTGCTTGTCATCTTCTAGTGGAGATGTCTCCTTTTGCTTGTCATCTTCTAGTGGAGACGTGTCTCCTTCTGCTTGTCATCTTCTAGTGGTGATGTGTCTCCTTCTGCTTGTCATCTTCTAGTGGAGATGTCTCCTTCTGCTTGTCATCTTCTAGTGGAGATGTGTCTCCTTCTGCTTGTCATCTTCTAGTGGAGACGTGTCTCCTTCTGCTTGTCATCTTCTAGTAGAGATGTCTCCTTCTGCTTGTCATCTTCTAGTGGAGACGTGTCTCCTTCTGCTTGTCATCTTCTAGTGGAGATGTGTCTTCTTCTGCTTGTCATCTTCTAGTAGAGATGTCTCCTTCTGCTTGTCATCTTCTAGTGGAGATGTCTCCTTCTGCTTGTCATCTTCTAGTGGAGATGTGTCTCCTTCTGCTTGTCATCTTCTAGTGGAGATGTCTCCTTCTGCTTGTCATCTTCTAGTGGAGATGTCTCCTTCTGCTTGTCATCTTCTAGTGGAGACGTGTCTCCTTCTGCTTGTCATCTTCTAGTGGAGATGTGTCTCCTTCTGCTTGTCACCTTCTAGTGGAGATGTGTCTCCTTCTGCTTGTCATCTTCTAGTGGAGATGTCTCCTTCTGCTTGTCATCTTCTAGTGGAGACGTGTCTCCTTCTGCTTGTCATCTTCTAGTGGAGATGTGTCTCCTTCTGCTTGTCATCTTCTAGTAGAGATGTCTCCTTCTGCTTGTCATCTTCTAGTGGAGATGTCTCCTTCTGCTTGTCATCTTCTAGTGGAGATGTGTCTCCTTCTGCTTGTCATCTTCTAGTAGAGATGTCTCCTTCTGCTTGTCATCTTCTAGTGGAGATGTGTCTCCTTCTGCTTGTCATCTTCTAGTGGAGATGTGTCTCCTTCTGCTTGTCATCTTCTAGTGGAGATGTCTCCTTCTGCTTGTCATCTTCTAGTGGAGACGTGTCTCCTTCTGCTTGTCATCTTCTAGTGGAGATGTGACTTCTTCTGCTTGTCATCTTCTAGTAGAGATGTCTCCTTCTGCTTGTCATCTTCTAGTGGAGATGTCTCCTTCTGCTTGTCATCTTCTAGTGGAGATGTGTCTCCTTCTGCTTGTCATCTTCTAGTAGAGATGTCTCCTTCTGCTTGTCATCTTCTAGTGGAGATGTGTCTCCTTCTGCTTGTCATCTTCTAGTGGAGACGTGTCTCCTTCTGCTTGTCATCTTCTAGTGGAGATGTGTCTCCTTCTGCTTGTCATCTTCTAGTAGATATGTCTCCTTCTGCTTGTCATCTTCTAGTGGAGATGTGTCTCCTTCTGCTTGTCATCTTCTAGTGGAGATGTGTCTCCTTCTGCTTGTCATCTTCTAGTAGAGATGTCTCCTTCTGCTTGTCATCTTCTAGTGGAGATGTGTCTCCTTCTGCTTGTCATCTTCTAGTGGAGATGTGTCTCCTTCTGCTTGTCATCTTCTAGTGGAGATGTCTCCTTCTGCTTGTCATCTTCTAGTAGAGATGTGTCTTCTTCTGCTTGTCATCTTCTAGTGGAGATGTGTCTTCTTCTGCTTGTCATCTTCTAGTGGAGACGTGTCTACTTTTGCTTGTCATCTTCTAGTAGAGATGTGTCTCCTTCTGCTTGTCATCTTCTAGTGGAGATGATCTCCTTCTGCTTGTCATCTTCTAGTGGAGACGTGTCTTCTTCTGCTTGTCATCTTCTAGTGGAGATGTGTCTACCTTTGCTTGTCATCTTCTAGTAGAGATGTGTCTCCTTCTGCTTGTCATCTTCTAGTGGAGATGATCTCCTTCTGCTTGTCATCTTCTAGTGGAGACGTGTCTTCTTCTGCTTGTCATCTTCTAGTGGAGATGTGTCTTCTTCTGCTTGTCATCTTCTAGTGGAGACGTGTCTACTTTTGCTTGTCATCTTCTAGTAGAGATGTGTCTCCTTCTGCTTGTCATCTTCTAGTGGAGATGATCTCCTTCTGCTTGTCATCTTCTAGTGGAGACGTGTCTTCTTCTGCTTGTCATCTTCTAGTGGAGATGTGTCTTCTTCTGCTTGTCATCTTCTAGTGGAGACGTGTCTTCTTCTGCTTGTCATCTTCTAGTGGAGATGTGTCTCCTTTTGCTTGTCATCTTCTAGTGGAGACGTGTCTACTTTTGCTTGTCATCTTCTAGTAGAGATGTGTCTCCTTCTGCTTGTCATCTTCTAGTGGAGATGATCTCCTTCTGCTTGTCACCTTCTAGTAGAGATGTGTCTCCTTCTGCTTGTCATCTTCTAGTGGAGATGTGTCTTCTTCTGCTTGTCATCTTTTACTGGAAATGTGTCTTCTTCTGCTTGTCATCTTCTAGTGGAGATGTGTCTTCTTCTGCTTGTCATCTTCTAGTGGAGATGTCTCCTTCTGCTTGTCATCTTCTAGTGGAGATGTGTCTCCTTCTGCTTGTCATCTTTTAGTGGAGATGTGTCTCTTCTGCTTGTCATCTTCTAGTGGAGATGTGTCTCTTCTGCTTGTCATCTTCTAGTGGAGACATGTCTCCTTCTGCTTGTCATCTTCTAGTGGAGATGTGTCTCCTTCTGCTTGTCATCTTCTAGTGGAGATGTGTCTCCTTCTGCTTGTCATCTTCTAGTGGAGATGTGTCTCCTTCTGCTTGTCATCTTCTAGTGGAGACATGTCTCCTTCTGCTTGTCATCTTCTAGTGGAGATGTGTCTCCTTCTGCTTGTCATCTTTTAGTAGAGACGTGTCTCCTTCTGCTTGTCATCTTCTAGTGGAGATGTGTCTCCTTCTGCTTGTCATCTTCTAGTGGAGATGTGTCTCCTTCTGCTTGTCATCTTTTAGTAGAGACGTGTTTCCTTCTGCTTGTCATCTTCTAGTGGAGATGTGTCTCCTTCTGCTTGTCATCTTCTAGTAGAGATGTCTCCTTCTGCTTGTCATCTTCTAGTGGAGACGTGTCTACTTTTGCTTGTCATCTTCTAGTAGAGATGTGTCTCCTTCTGCTTGTCATCTTCTAGTGGAGATGATCTCCTTCTGCTTGTCATCTTCTAGTGGAGACGTGTCTTCTTCTGCTTGTCATCTTCTAGTGGAGATGTGTCTACCTTTGCTTGTCATCTTCTAGTAGAGATGTGTCTCCTTCTGCTTGTCATCTTCTAGTGGAGATGATCTCCTTCTGCTTGTCATCTTCTAGTGGAGACGTGTCTTCTTCTGCTTGTCATCTTCTAGTGGAGATGTGTCTTCTTCTGCTTGTCATCTTCTAGTGGAGACGTGTCTACTTTTGCTTGTCATCTTCTAGTAGAGATGTGTCTCCTTCTGCTTGTCATCTTCTAGTGGAGATGATCTCCTTCTGCTTGTCATCTTCTAGTGGAGACGTGTCTTCTTCTGCTTGTCATCTTCTAGTGGAGATGTGTCTTCTTCTGCTTGTCATCTTCTAGTGGAGACGTGTCTTCTTCTGCTTGTCATCTTCTAGTGGAGATGTGTCTCCTTTTGCTTGTCATCTTCTAGTGGAGACATGTCTACTTTTGCTTGTCATCTTCTAGTAGAGATGTGTCTCCTTCTGCTTGTCATCTTCTAGTGGAGATGTGTCTTCTTCTGCTTGTCATCTTTTACTGGAAATGTGTCTTCTTCTGCTTGTCATCTTCTAGTGGAGATGTGTCTTCTTCTGCTTGTCATCTTCTAGTGGAGATGTCTCCTTCTGCTTGTCATCTTCTAGTGGAGATGTGTCTCCTTCTGCTTGTCATCTTTTAGTGGAGATGTGTCTCTTCTGCTTGTCATCTTCTAGTGGAGATGTGTCTCTTCTGCTTGTCATCTTCTAGTGGAGACATGTCTCCTTCTGCTTGTCATCTTCTAGTGGAGATGTGTCTCCTTCTGCTTGTCATCTTCTAGTGGAGATGTGTCTCCTTCTGCTTGTCATCTTCTAGTGGAGATGTGTCTCCTTCTGCTTGTCATCTTCTAGTGGAGACATGTCTCCTTCTGCTTGTCATCTTCTAGTGGAGATGTGTCTCCTTCTGCTTGTCATCTTTTAGTAGAGACGTGTCTCCTTCTGCTTGTCATCTTCTAGTGGAGATGTGTCTCCTTCTGCTTGTCATCTTCTAGTGGAGATGTGTCTCCTTCTGCTTGTCATCTTTTAGTAGAGACGTGTCTCCTTTTGCTTGTCATCTTCTAGTGGAGATGTGTCTCCTTCTGCTTGTCATCTTCCAGTGGAGATGTGTCTCCTTCTGCTTGTCATCTTCTAGTGGAGACGTGTCTACTTTTGCTTGTCATCTTCTAGTGGAGATGTGTCTCCTTCTGCTTGTCATCTTCTAGTGGAGATGTGTCTCCTTTTGCTTGTTATCTTCTAGTGGAGATGTGTCTCCTTCTGCTTGTCATCTTCTAGTGGAGACGTGTCTCCTTCTGCTTGTCATCTTCTAGTGGAGATGTGTCTCCTTCTGCTTGTCATCTTCTAGTGGAGATGTGTGTCCTTCTTCTTGTCATCTTCTAGTGGAGATGATCTTGTGCACACCAGTCTTTTTTGGGTAGAGATGATCTTGTGCACACCAGTCTTTTTTGGGTAGAGATCATCTTGTGCACACCAGTCTTTTTTGGGTAGAGATGATCTTGTGCACACCAGTCTTTTTTGGGTAGAGATGATCTCCTTGTGCACACCAATCTTTATTGGGGCTTTACAATTAAAAGATTGTTCAGGTACGGTATTCTGCAGGATGAGGTAGCCAGTGAGTCTAATGCCAGCCCTCTTAGACCTTGCATGATTGGTTACTGTGTTATTATTTTCTCCCCTTCTGAACACAGCACAAGCATTTTTTATGTGTGATAGATAGTGGATATAATTAAAGCGATATTGAACTCAGATAGCCTAATATAACACTTTCATGACAACAGGAAATGTGACTCACATTAAAAAAAAATATGTATATACATAATAATAATTGTAATGGATGTGCAGCTCTGTACGTCCACTGGGAAATTTGTGTCCTATGAAAATTTATAAAACTGAAGGTTTTTTCCTATAAGGCTTTATTTTACATTAAATAGATATCTAACACAGTCATTTATTACTTTGTATTATTTCATAAACTCTTCCAGTCCTGAAGGAGTTAATTGAGTTTTGTTCTCTTGTTCCCAGATTCACCAAATAGTTTTAGCATAAACTCTGCCTTGATGTTTCTGGTTGGGTTTTTCATTGGAGGAGCTGCCAATTTGATCAGTTCTGCTGTTTCTGCAGATCTGGGTATGTAGTGTTCCAGCACTTTTTTTTATCTCACTGTGATAACTTGTCTTGTTTTTAGTTATCTCACTGTACACACTTCATTCAGTTTAGAAAAAAAATCTCACTACATTTAATATATTTAGTATACAAACTTTATTGTGTTTAGCTATCTCACTGTACACACTTTGTTGTTTGTATTTAGTTACCTAACTTAACAACTAAACTTATCATTGTAGATAACTGTAATGTTAACAACTGATCAAGTTGTGTATCTTCCATTCACAGGGAAAGTCTGTCTACTCTGGGAGTCTGTTAACTCTATGAGTCTGTTTACTCTATAAGTCTGTTTACTCTATGAGTCTGTCTACTCTATGTATGGCACTCGAGTTTTAAATTTTACATTGACATTCTTGCAGGCTGTCAGAAACAACTCCGTGGCAATGATCGGGCCTTGGCAACCGTGACTGGAGTCATAGATGGCACAGGAAGTGTTGGTGCAGCTCTTGGCCAGGTTATTATGAAAACATTTCTCTTTTATTAATTATGTATAAATCTTGACAGACCTTTGTCCTGGAATGGAGTGGTGTCTGCCCACAAACTGCTGCATTCTGTTGAAGATATGGAGGGGCATGATTACCAATGCCAGTCAGCAAGGCACTTGATAACATTGATGAATGGCTTACAGATTAGCAGACTTGATGTCCAAGATGCTAGCTCTGTTTTTAAGTAAATTATAAACAATATTAATAACCATCTTTTTTGTATGGTTATTGGATGAATAATCAAGCATGTCCAGTGCAGGACATTGTTAGAGCATAGGAGTTGTTATCCAACAAGATCTAATAGAGCAGGGATTGTTATCCAACATGATCTTATTGAACAGAGATTGTTATCCAACAAGATCTCATTGAGCAGAGATTGTTATCCAACAAGATCTCATTGAGTGGGGATAGTTATCCAACAAGATCTCATTGAGCAGAGATTGTTATCCAACAAGATCTCATTGAGCAGAGATTGTTATCCAACATGATCTCATTGAACAGAGATTGTTATCCAACAAGATCTCATTGAGCAGAGATTGTTATCCAGCAAGATCTCATTGAGCAGAGATTGTTATCCAGCAAGATCTCATTGAGCGGGGATTGTTATCCAGCAAGATCTCATTGAGCGGGGATTGTTATCCAACAAAATCTTATTGAGCAGAGATTGTTATCCAACAAGATCTCATTGAGCAGAGATTGTTATCCAACAAGATCTCATTGAGCGGGGATTGTTATCCAACAAGATCTCATTGAGCAGAGATTATTTTCCAACAAGATCTCATTGAGCAGAGATTGTTATCCAACAAGATCTCATTGAGCAGAGATTGTTATCCAACAAGATCTCATTGAACAGAGATTGTTATCCAACAAGATCTCATTGAACAAAGATAGTTATCCAATAAGATCTTACTGAGCGGGGATTTTATCCAACAAGATCTCATTGAACAGAGATTGTTATCCAACAAGATCTCATTGAGCAGAGATTGTTATCCAACAAAATCTCATTGAGCAGAGATTGTTATCCAACAAGATCTCATTGAGCAGAGATTGTTATCCAACAAGATCTCATTGAGCAAGGATTGTTATCCAACAAGATCTTATTGAGCGTGGATTGTTATCCAACAAGATCTCATTGAGCAGAGATTGTTATCCAACAAGATCTCATTGAACAAAGATAGTTATCCAATAAGATCTTACTGAGCGGGGATTTTATCCAACAAGGTCTCATTGAGCAGAGATTGTTATCCAACAAGATCTCACTGAGCAGAGATTGTTATCCAACAAAATCTCATTGAGCAGAGATTGTTATCCAACAAGGTCTCATTGAGCAGAGATTGTTATCCAACAAAATCTCATTGAGCAGAGATTGTTATCCAACAAGATCTCATTAAGCAGAGATTGTTATCCAACAAGATCTCATTGAGCAAGGATTGTTATCCAACAAGATCTTATTGAGCGTGGATTGTTATCCAACAAGATCTCATTGAGCAGAGATTGTTATCCAACAAGATCTCATTGAGCGGGGATTGTTATCCAACAAGATCTCATTGAGCGGGGATTGTTACCCAACAAGATCTCATTGAGCGGGGATTGTTATCCAACAAAATCTTATTGAGCGGGGATTGTTACCCAACAAGATCTCATTGAGCGGAGATTGTTATCCAACAAGATCTCATTGAGCGGGGATTGTTATCCAACAAGATCTCATTGAGCAGAGATTGTTATCCAACAAGATCTCATTGAGCAGAGATTGTTATCCAACAAGATCTCATTGAACAGAGATTGTTATCCAACAAGATCTCATTGAACAGAGATTGTTATCCAACAAGATCTCATTGAGCGGGGATTGTTATCCAACAAGATCTCATTGAGCGGGGATTGTTATCCAACAAGATCTCATTGAGCAGAGATTGTTATCCAACAAGATCTTATTGAGCGGGGATTGTTATCCAACAAGATCTCATTGAGCGGGGATTGTTATCCAACAAAATCTTATTGAGCGGAGATTGTTATCCAACAAGATCTCATTGAACAGAGATTGTTATCCAACAAGATCTCATTGAGCGGGGATTGTTATCCAACAAGATCTCATTGAGCAGAGATTGTTATCCAACAAGGTCTCATTGAGCAGAGATTGTTATCCAACAAGATCTCATTGAGCAGAGATTGTTATCCAACAAGATCTCATTGAACAGAGATTGTTATCCAACAAGATCTCATTGAACAAAGATTGTTATCCAACAAGATCTCATTGAGCGGGGATTGTTATCCAACAAGATCTCATTGAGCGGGGATTGTTATCCAACAAGATCTCATTGAGCGGGGATTGTTATCCAACAAGATCTCATTGAGCGGGGATTGTTATCCAACAAGATATCCCATTGAGCGGGGATTGTTATCCAACAAGATCTCATTGAGCAGGGATTTTGCTCATTTATTTATCATTCAGTGAATGATCTTGTAGAACAACAATCAAATGTGAGTCATGTTTTCCCTACAAAATAGACTCAGAGGGATGATTATCATCGCTGAATCATTGAGCTCCTGTGGGTGAGAAAGAAGCCTGTGTGATGATATCTTCTGGATTTGAGACCACAGTCAGGGATATAGCTGGAGCATTAAGTGACTATGCAGCATTGCAAAGAAAATGTGATGAAATCTGCTTCCAGGAGGACATTTAAACACAAATTCACTTGGGCTTCCAGGTCCGACTTGCCTAAAATGGCCACCAGATGTTGTTTTATTGGTTGATGTCATCGACTCTAAACTCCTGCAGAAAGTTCTGGTTATGCATCCATTTTACAAATCTTTGATATCTAATGTTTCCTGGCCTAACAGAAGGATGCACTCTGTCTTTGAAGAAAATGTTGGTCCTATCTCTAGGATGACTGCAGCGGACCCAAATCTTTTGTTGCCATTTAGTAGGACACTTAACCGAAAGACATCTGAACCTTTGTTATTATGAAGAAGGCTCGGGCCTTGGACCTCACTCATTATAACCCGCTATAAATATTTGTATATCTATAAGTGTTGTTACCCAAGCACTGAGGCTAGGCTGATGAGTGCCAGAGGCTGTCCTGGACACTGCATCTCTGGGGACCACCAGCTCTAAGATCCCCTACTATCTCTGGGGACCACCAGCTCCAAGATCCCCTACTATCTCTGGGGACCACCAGCTCAAAGATCCCCCGCCATCTCTGGGGACCACCAGCTCTGAGATCCCCCGCCATCTCTGGGGACCACCAGCTCTGAGATCCCCCGCTATCTCTAGGGGCCACCAGCTCAAAGATCCCCCGCCATCTCCTGGGACCACCAGCTTAAAGATCCCCCGCCATCTCTGGGGACCACCAGCTCTAAGATCCCCCGCCATCTCTGGGGACCACCAGTTCAAAGATCCCCCGCCATCTCTGGGGACCACCAGCTCAAAGATCCCCCACCATCTCTGGGGACCACCAGCTCCAAGATCCCCCGCCATCTCTGTTTACGCTAACATAAGGATATTATCCTGGTTGAACGACCTGGACCTGTGGCAAGAATGTTGCATGAGGTCTATAAAACCAGCACACAGAATGCTGGCACTGAGGGAAGGCATGCAAATCCCTTATCCACCAAACAACAGGATTGACTTTCCCTAATGCCTGTGTTCAAAATCACAGCATCCCCGGATACCAGAAATTTTGAAGGAAGTAAAGATACCCACGATTATTTCGTAGTACTATGTTATCATCCTATGTCATCATCCATAGCTGTACATAACTTGTTCATTGCTTTATTCCTTCAGCAGTTTCAGTTTTCATTATCATCATGTGTCATAATGATTATCATGAATGTTCATGGTTGGCCATCTGACACTATCATCAGTTTTGTATAATCTCTGTTCTCGTCTCTGTTATGCCATGTAGCAAAGCCATCCATGTATTTATCTCATTGTCCACCCCTTACTCTTGTCCTGTGAAGCTAGCCAGTTGCCACTAATTTTCAAAAATATTCCTTCTGGTAACATGTCCAACAATGTGTTGGGTAAATCCACATGTCACATGTATGAGAACTTTATGCAGCCTTCCCCCTAAACACAAGCAGTCTCAATAGCAGGTGTGACCAGAAGTTTATTGGGCACACTGATTGATGTTTGGCAGACCCTGAGAGGTATTGAACACGACAAACCTGACTCAGCTGTCTGCATAACCAGGGGGTCAATTATCCATGTCTCATACAACTAAATCATGTCATTTGGGCTGTTCTTTCAGACTGAAAATGGAAAACAGCTTAAATTTAATTACCATTGTTTGCTGTTTCCATCAGGGGGGAATCAACACCTTTGTGGATGCTTTGTTGTAACATATTTGTTACATTTTCCTAGTCTTTTTTCGCAGTCAGATAACTTTAAAAAATGTTATTCATGCAAGTTTGTTTTCTACTTGATTGTATATAAGTAACGCTTGCATTGTTCTTGACATATGTATGTTTAAAAATATCCTACTAGATTGCTGTCCCATATCTGCAGACTGGCTTTAACTGGCATGCAGTGTTTTATCTATTTATGATTTGTGTAAGTACATTTTCATCTTGCCGTCTTTTATTACTGACATTTAATATAATAAATTAAATGTTTATGTTTAGAAAAACAAAACAAAATTGAAAATTAAATTCACCGCAGTTATCATATTTTTGATGACCTCATTCAGCTGACACTTTTTAGAAGCCATGATGATGTTGTGGTTTGGTTGCTTTTGTTGACCCGGTTATCACAGCGTTTGAATTCACATTGAGGTGGATTTTTAAAACTTGACTTGTTTACCCAGCCATAAAGGGGTATCCGGAAATGTCCTTGGAAGTAAAGGTGCCCTTGGTGATATTAATCACATCACCCATCGAGTGCCAGCTGGTCTATGAACATACAGAACTTGCACCCTGTGCCCAGTCTGCATCACAGCGTGGAAATAGGACCTTTACTTGGTTAGAGAATGCTAATGAAATCTGTTTACCTAGCTACCACTTTAGTGTTTTCTACAAGATGTTTATATTTAGACCTTTTTTTCTTCTTCTTCTGCGTTCGACATTCATTCTAAACATTGAGTCCTGTCTGGGTCACAAATAGGATTGTGCGTTTAAGGTCACCACCGGTCCCCCATAGCTTCTCTTGCAATGTGGCTCCCTTGGGCCAGATCCAGTTTTACAGTCTTACTCTGTTCTTCCCTGGTTAGTTTAGACCTTGTGAAAGTATTAGTTGGGGATTAGTTAAACCTGATCATTGTATGGCAGCTGCTTGGCCCTGTCAGCTTGACATCCTCATCAATTATATTTGAGGCCATCAGTGGGAAATCTTTGTCTGTCAAAGGTCATCTGAATATTTATAATATCATTCAGAATCAGCTTTAAAATTAGTCTGCTATATTTATTGACACATTCCATGGCTAAATTATTGTACAGGCCTTACAAGGCCAGCTGGTTAGATCATCTACTCTGCTTTAGATGCTCTTCACTCAACATGAATCATTGTTCAGCATTCTTTTATCTAACATTTACACATCAAACTTTTTTATTTCTTAGATTGTTTAACACCTCTTTCTATTTATGTTTATCACATTTCAGTTTCTTTCACGGTGTACTTATCCTATTCATGTGATCGTTTTCACTTTCTTTTATGGTGTAGAATTCTTGTTGTTTTTAATTAATTGACTTTGGTCGAAGTACTCGGTTGTGTTTGTGTCTGCGTGCGTGTGTGCAGGTGCACTCATAGAACTTAGAAAATACCCTTTGTCTGACTGAATTTGTGTAGAAATGTTTACTCATCTGTCCATTTGTCTGTTTGCTTTGGTGAACTTACTTGCCATATTTTGTGTTCATTTATATTTTATATCCTCTACCTTGTGAAACCACTCCAACATTTTTGGTTTTTGGCACCTGATGGCTGCCTTATGTCATCAATGTATGGGCATGCTATTAGCTTGACCGAGACTGCCGTCTGCTACATATTTTTTTTTTTAAACAAAGGACTGCGATGGACATTTTAAAAAGTTTTCTCTGACACAGGAATGGGGCAACTATGGGCTGAACCTTCTGCTGTAAAGTTGGGACTGCAGGGAACCAGTTGACTCCTGACATACATCAAGGAAGCTAGGGTCCAGATCAGAAATCTGTCTAGGATTGCTCAGACAAAATGAGTCCTTGCCAAACAGCAGATATAGAGATCTGAAGGCATTTCCTGTAAAAGTCAGCTATGACTGCTCAGAGCACTAGCTTTTAGTACGTTCACATATGGTTGTGAAACGTGGACCTTAACAGATGAACTTGAAGAGAAGATTTTTCTGAATAAATCGTGTCATATCATACAGAAACCACATCACAAAGATGAGGTTCACAGTAAATTCCCAGTACATCAGCAACTATTAGCCTCTTTTAACTACAGTAAAAAGACAGAAAATAAAATGGTATAGACATATAATAATATCTAATGGTCTCTCAAAAACAATACTATAAGGCTCAGTAGGGGGAAAGAGGAGAAGAGGCAAACCAAGAAACGCTTGAATACAGAACTTGACTGATTGGACAAGCTTTAGGCATGCAGTCACGGAGTCTGTTGCATCTGACTGTCAGTGGTGGAGAGAGCTGATCAGACAGTTTACAGCAACTGGTGACCCAAAAACATGCTGTTTTATGATACATCGGCAAGATTACAGATAGCTGTAATGGTAAGACAGCTGAGTTGCTTCCTTAGCATTTTTTATTTGATATCATTGCCATTTTACAAAAATCTCTTGTCCATAATTTATATATATGTTAGCTGTTGTGGTTTCATCTAACAATCTATATATATACATATATATATGTGTAAATATTTATCTGTTTTGCAGATGTTTCTGACAGCGGTGTGCCTGTTCCCACTTTTCTTTAAGGAAATCAGAAGTTTGAAGTGCTTTTCTCGTTGCAGACAAAGGGCCAATTACCCGACTGTCCAGGATAGAGAGTATCTTGCTAGTAGCAGTTGATAACAACTATTTTCTGTACATCTGTTCATACATTGTGTGATAGTTGTTGAGTATTGCTTCTCTTCTGTGATTGGGATGTATGTACCTGTGTGAATCATCTACAGAAAAAAAAAAGTCAGTCACTGTTGGATATTGTATGAGTGTGTGGCGTGTGTGTGTTATTGTTTATTAAAGACCATAGGTGGATCTTCTGTTAGGTCATGCAGGGCTACACAGCTATGATATTCTAGTTTTAGTGGCTCCAGTTTGTGGAACATTTATGGTGCACAAAAAGCAAATATTTTTTGTTATACATTTGTTAAATTAATGACATTAATTAATCTATTAGAATAATAGATTGCTTTGTAACTGTAGTGTGCAAAACATGTGCTGTATAAGGTTGAATGTGGTTTATGGGTTATCCTGTTAGATTTGCATCAGAATATTCACTCCTTGAGTCACTGGGTACTAGTCTTTCAGGCTGCAGTCCTGGAGGGATAAAATCAGAAAGTTAGAATACAAGGCCACATATAAATGGCTTGGTTCTGAGACACAGTCTGATGACATGAAACAGATTTGCAGTAACAGACATGGGGGTTTATGGGAACAACATGGAGGACATGGGGGTTTATGGGAACAACATGGAGGACATGGGGGTTTATGGGAACAACATGGAGGACATGGGGATTTATGGGAACAACATGGGGGTTTATGGGAACAACATGGAGGACATGGGGGTTTATGGGAACAACATGGAGGACATGGGAGTTTATGGGAACAACGTGGAGGACATGGGGGTTTATGGGAACAACATGGAGGACATGGGGGTTTATGGGAACAACATGAAGGACATGGGGGTTTATGGGAACAACATGGGGGTTTATGGGAACAACATGGAGGACATGGGGGTTTATGGGAACAACATGGAGGACATGGGGGTTTATGGGAACAACATGGAGGACATGGGAGTTTATGGGAACAACGTGGAGGACATGGGGGTTTATGGGAACAACATGGAGGACATGGGGGTTTATGGGAACAACATGGAGGACATGGGGGTTTATGGGAACAACATGGAGGACATGGGAGTTTATGGGAACAACGTGGAGGACATGGGGGTTTATGGGAACAACATGGAGGACATGGGGGTTTATGGGAACAACATGGGGGTTTATGGGAACAACATGGAGGACATGGGGGTTTATGGGAACAACATGGAGGACATGGGAGTTTATGGGAACAACATGGAGGACATGGGGGTTTATGGGAACAACATGGAGGACATGGGGGTTTATGGGAACAACATGGAGGACATGGGGGTTTATGGGAACAACATGGGGGTTTATGGGAACAACATAAAGCTGTTGAGTTTGGAAGCTTGACCAGTAAACATTTCTACACAAATTCAGTCAGACAAAGGGTATTTTCTAAGTTCTATGATGCTAGTTAGTTAAACGATTAAATAGTGATCTTGTCTCCTAGTCTGCAAGTTCTAAATTCCATAATGCTGGTTAGTTAATTGATTAAACAATGATCTTGTCTACTAATCTATCCCCGGCTGACATCTGTTATCCCCATACATATCAGGAGTGTTGATGGGAAAGCCATTTGTGCTGCACTACGTGTTATTGCATACATTGAATCAGAGCATATTATAGTCATGTGATAAGTACTGACTAATGAATAAAAGAGCATGTGCTTATAGTCCCACAATGCATGGGTTCTGTTTCTGACTGTTGAAAGAAATGGCCAGGTTGATCCAGAGTCCGTCATAGAAGCTCAGAGAGCAGTGATTCGGTTTCTTCCATTTGAAGGAAGTTGTTTATTGAAAATTGCAGGCAGCATACGGTAACAAAACTGTTAAAGACAACAGGGACAGACCTGGCACAAATGTTTGGGAAAGGACAAGAGTTCACGACAGATCTTCCATGGCCAGGTCAAGCACATATTATTGCAGCAGAAAATAAAACTATCACGAAAATTGATTCAGCAATATGGGTGTAAAAATTGGATGTGTTGGAACGGTTCAAAAAGTTGTTCATAAGAAACTACAATATCAGAAGCTGTGTTCACAGTGGGTACCACAGACATTGACTGACCACCAAAAGAAGGAAAACATAGGATGGTGTTTGAAGACTTGATGCATTAATGAGTGGAGAGTGACGCAGGTGATGAATCACTTTGAGCCGAGCAGCAAAAGAGAGAGCAGGCGATGGGAGGAGATGCATGTGATAGTGAAGGATAGGATGACTTGGTGTAAGTTTGGTTGAAGGCCTTTGCTCCACTGGAGGATAAAGGGCAGAACTGAAAGAAAAAAAAGATCTCTTGAAAAGGAGGACACCTAGTGATTGTTGTCATGTAGCTTATAAAGTGACAGTGGCTTGAAGCCGGGGGCCTTTCACAGCAGAAACCCAGCATCCAGTGATCACACTAGTGTCTCAGCAACAGATGCATGGAAAGCCAAGCACCAGCAACCAAACAGCAAAAACCCACTGGGACAGGAAAAGAAGTCCAGACTCCACCAGGATCTACCAGACCACACCAGATGTGGAAGACCAAGAAACAGAAAATCTGGTGTAACTGCACATCACAAAGAATTTGATAACAAACAAGATGGCAAACGAAAAAATCTCCTCAGTGTAACAGGGCTTTTAGCCAGTGAAAGAAGGAACAAGTTTGCAATTTTTTTTCTATGAATCCCATCAAATTCCATTTCAAGAACATTTCCACTTACATATTTCTTTCTGTCTCTATGCCTGTTTTATATAGTATTTTCCAGTTTATCTGTTTGTATTTTCTTTTAGCCGTGTCCCCGAGAAACCTGTTTTTCTTGCTTTAAAAGTTTTTTTTTTTTTATTTCACAAAGTTGACACGTTATATAAAAAAAAATCAGTCAGTGTGCAGTCTTAGAGAAAGTGAGATGTGGGAGATCAAGCAAGTGGTAAAATGATGTACACTTTTTTAATCACGTCTTTTCCTTTTTTCTTTCATGTACATACATAGTCATTTTAATATGTGTATACAATGATACTCATGTCTTCCATGACACTGAATTATTCATGTCACAGCAGACTTTACTGAGTCAGTTCAGATATATTGATTTATTTATGGATCCTATTGTATTATTGATTGTTGTTACTGTTGTAATTTCTGACAGCATGATCAGTTTGTGTGAACATGTTGCTGGCCATTGCTGTCATGAACATGTTGCTGGCCATTGCTGTCATGAACATGTTGCTGGCCATTGCTGTCATGAACATGTTGCTGGCCATTGCTGTCATGAACATGTTGCTGGCCATTGCTGTCATGAACATGTTGCTGGCCATTGTTGTCATGAACATGTTGCTGGCCATTGCTGTCATGAACATGTTGCTGGCCATTGCTGTCATGAACATGTTGCTGGCCATTGCTGTCATGAACATGTTGCTGGCCATTGCTGTCATTGTGGCTGCACAGAAACATCATCTGGACATTTGTCATGGGAACAGTCATACAGCTTGTAAATACAGCCCATGCATAATTCATGAATTCTTATAGATCACACAACACACTAGTACCGCTCTCACAAAATATCAATATTATTATTGAATCACTAATGTGGAGCTCTGGGAAAGAAACAAACCCACCCCCCAAAAAACATTGAAAAATAAGAGAGTGAAGCTAAACAAGACCTGTGCTCCAGAGGGAGATAAGGGCAGAAAAAGAAGTTAATAACATCTCAGTGTTTAGATTACTTAGATCAAAACAAACTTCTGAGAACAGTTTTAGCATGCTAAATAAAAAGGTTATATCACAATGAAGGTTGGCAGTAGTGGATAGGTTAGAAATTCTTCTTCTGTTGCCATGACACTATTACCTACTGTAGTGGATTGTCAAGTATTTCTGTCTTGATCAATCACTTCTTGGCTGGCTTGCTTTTTGTTCATCTTTTTTAAATTATTTATGCAGAATTTAGCTATATGATCTTCCTCTCACTTTCAAACCCAGATACTTTGCTTTAGAAAGTCTCAAATGCAGTTTGGTCTGGCTGTATTCTTACTACCACTCTATTCTCTGTCTTTCAATGTAATGAATATACAATCTGGTTGCAGTCTTCTCTCTCTCTCATGTAATATTTGCTAGTATCCGTATCTTGTGTTGATGGTGACATGTTGGAGACGGCACATTTTCCAGCTGGTTGATATAGGTGCTACATCAGCTGGTTGATATAGGAGGTACATCAGCTGGTTGATATAGGTGGTACATCAGCTGGTTGATATAGGTGCTACATCAGCTGGTTGATATAGGAGGTACATCAGCTGGTTGATATAGGTGCTACATCAGCTGGTTGATATAGGTGCTACTCAGCTGGTTGATATAGGTGCTACATCAGCTGGTTGATATAGGTGCTACATCAGCTGGTTGATATAGGTGCTACATCAGCTGGTTGATATAGGTGGTACATCAGCTGGTTGATATAGGTGGTACATCAGCTGGTTGATATAGGTGGTACATCAGCTGGTTGATATAGGTGCTACATCAGCTGGTTGATATAGGTGCTACATCAGCTGGTTGATATAGGTGGTACATCAGCTGGTTGATATAGGTGGTACATCAGCTGGTTGATATAGGTGCTACATCAGCTGGTTGATATAGGTGCTACATCAGCTGGTTGATATAGGTGCTAAATCAGCTGGTTGATATAGGTGCTACATCAGCTGGTTGATACAGTTGCTACATCAGCTGGTTGATACAGGTGCTACATCAGCTGGTTGATATAGGTGCTACATCAGCTGGTTGATATAGGTGGTACATCAGCTGGTTGATATAGGTGGTACATCAGCTGGTTGATATAGGTGCTACATCAGCTGGTTGATATAGGTGCTACATCAGCTGGTTGATATAGGTGCTACATCAGCTGGTTGATATAGGTGCTACATCAGCTGGTTGATAGAGGTGGTACATCAGCTGGTTGATATAGGTGCTACATCAGCTGGTTGATATAGGTGCTACATCAGCTGGTTGATATAGGTGCTACATCAACTGGTGATTTTCAGAATATTGTATCATGTGGCCCATATTTCTTCCATGTTGCGACTCTCAAACGAGTGTTGAAAGCCAATAAAATGGCTTTTATAATCTGCTGCTATGAAAATTGATTCCTGGATGCCAGTGATTACGCTTGCTAAAATGTACACAATTTTCTATTTTGAGACATTTTTGGCCATCAATTCTTTTACAGGAAATCACTCATTGTTAAGATGAAACTTTAATTGCTATATTTAGTAAACTTGAATATTTCATTGTATTATTATTGTCATTATTATTCTGTTGTTGCAGATCCAACAGCACTTCCTCAGCTTAAGTGCTTCCATTTAAATGCCACTCACTAAAATGTGCACTTGGGGAAGGGGGGGGGGGGGGGGGGGGGTTCCTTTTTGTATTCATTTCATAAGAGAAATATTTTTCATAACATCCTAGCAAGGGGCACTTGAAATGCAATAGCTGTGAAACCAAAATGCAATGAAAAATTGTCAGAAAGAAAATGATGCTGGATTTAACAAATCCTTCAGAAGCTTGTAGCAACCACAGTACACTGATATAACTGTACAAAAATCGCATAGCTGTTAAAAGGCTGACGTTAAAGCAAGGCAGGATGAACAATGTCTACAATACTAATGCTTCTGACTTGTTGTCAGTATCGACATCCTAGCACATCGTTCTGACACATTCGCACTCTGTCTGAGCCATGTCATTGTCTATGCTAAGTTTGCTAAGTGTACGCACTAGGATAGACCAGCAGGAGAAACAAATCCAAGATACAGTAAAACCTCGCTTAACGAGCACCTCTCATAACGAGTAATTCACATAACGAGCAAAACAAATTGTAAAAGAATGACTCGCTTAACGAGCGATGTTACGCATAACGAATTGCGAGGAGAGGGGAAGTTCCGAATTGAGCGCATGTTACATCAGTCTGTGTTTAGTTCTCATGCCAGTAGCATCGTAGTCTCGCTTGTGATCACACATTTTCTCAAACTTGTGATATATGTACATGAATCCTCCAGGCCTACAAGATGACCTCCTTGAAGAATTTAAGTTCATCAAGATCCAGTTTCTGCCTCCCAACACCACTCCGTTACTACAGCCAATGGACCAGCAAGTGTTTGCGGTACTCCTGACAAATCCGGACGAAGACTAAAAAGCCTTGGACGACTTAGTCAGAGTTCTCTCCCGTGGCCGCACTGCGAACAGTGATCGGAAAAGCCACAACGAAACAAAGAACACAGTCACGTCGACATCAGGGCTGCCAATGCTTGGTTGTTTCCCCCAGATCTGGGTTTTTTTTTCGACGCTGCAGGACAATTCTGGGTGTTTTTTTTTTTTGGGTGTGTTTTGTTTGTTGGTGTTTGCCGATTTGTATGCTTTAATGATCGATAAATCTGCGTGGTTAGGGGGTAGGGGTTAGAG